AGAGGACTAGTTACCCACAGAGATTATAAAGAGGACTCTCTGCCCAGGTTATAAAGAGGACTCTCTGCCCAGGTAAGTTATCTGGTGAATGAACTAGAGGACTAGTTACCCACAGAGGTTATAAAGAGGACTCTCTGCCCAGGTAAGTTATCTGGTGAATGAACTAGAGGACTAGTTACCCACAGAGGTTATAAAGAGGACTCTCTGCCCAGGTAAGTTATCTGGTGAATGAACTAGAAGACTAGTTACACACAGAGGTTATAAAGAGGACTCTCTGCCCAGGTAAGTTATCTGGTGAATGAACTAGAGGACTAGTCGCTCTTTTTCATGATCCAGGTTACCCCATGAGCAAGGATCGGTACAGAGATCCCAGATTATATAAAATCAGCTCACATACCTGTTTAATGTAGACACTTGCAGAACAATCACAGCTCTCATCTGCTTTCTGATCACAGCCGTTTCATCACCAACCTTTGACCGGCTACAAGCACTTACTTCCCCCTAGTCACATTGCTCCAGGGAACCAACCAACTGATAACAGAGGAATTCATTAGAGAATGAGTAACAATGTGACAGCGTAGGAATTAATAAAAATGTGGATTAGGAAGTGGCGAAACTGAGAAATACGGTAGGAGATGTTATAACATACAACTGGAGTAAAAATACAGGGTATATATAGTAATAAGAGTTATATGGAGTTATAGGGAGAGGGAGGGTTACATGGAGTAATAGGGAGGGTTATATGGAGTAATAGGAGGAGTTATAGGGAGGGTTATATGGAGTAATAGGAGGAGTTATAGGGAGAGTTATATGGAGTAATAGAAGGGGTTATAGGGAGGTTATATGGAGTAATAGGAGGAGTTATAGGGAGGATTATATGGAGTAATAGGAGGAGTTATAGGGAGGGTTATATGGAGTAATAGGAGGGGTTATAGGGAGGGTTATATGGAGTAATAGGAGGGGTTATAGGGAGGGTTATATGGAGTAATAGAAGAGGTTATAGGGAGGTTATATGGAGTAATAGGAGGAGTTATAGGGAGGATTATATGGAGTAATAGGAGGAGTTATAGGGAGGGTTATATGAAGTAATAGGAGAAGTTATAGGGAGGGTTATATGGAGTAATAGGAGGGGTTATAGGGAGGGTTATATGGAGTAATAGGAGGAGTTATAGGGAGGGTTATATGGAGTAATAGGAGGAGTTATAGGGAGGGTTATCTGGAGTAATAGGAGGGGTTATTGGGAGGGTTATATGGAGTAATAGGAGGCGTTATAGGGAGGGTTATATGGAGTAATAGGAGGAGCTATAGGGAGGGTTATATGGAGTAATAGGAGGTGTTATAGGAAGGGTTATATGGAGTAATAGAAGGGGTTATTGGGAGGGTTATATGGAGTAATAGGAGGCGTTATAGGGAGGGTTATATGGAGTAATAGGAGGAGTTATAGGGAGGGTTATATGGAGTAATAGGAGGCTTTATATGGAGGGTTATATGGAGTAACAGGAGGAGTTATAGGGAGGGTTATATGGAGTAATAGGAGGAGTTATAGGGAGGGTTACATGGAGTAATAGGAGGAGCTATAGGGAGGGTTATATGGAGTAATAGGAGGTGTTATATGGAGGGTTATATAGAGTAACAGGAGGAGTTATAGGGAGGGTTATATGGAGTAATAGGAGGAGTTATAGGGAGGGTTATATGAAGTAATAGGATGAGTTATAGGGAGGTTATATGGAGTAATAGGTGGTTGTAAGGAAACCAAGTATATTTAAACCTCATTCGGTAGTTTCCTCCCGAACCGCCAGAGCCTTAGTGATTATAGTCCTCCGTTCGGTAGATAGAATAGACGAACCATATAGTAATCCCAATAGCTTCACCAGACGATTCCCTTAGTGAAACACACGAATCCCCAAAAATCAGCCGAAGTCAAGAAGAAGGGTACAAAATGAACTGTCCTTTAATGGGTGCACACAGCTTTTATGCAAGTCCCCATGCAAGGGGACAGCCCTCAGGGAGGGACAAACATTAACCAATCACATACAGTAAAACTTTAACACACACCCACAGTTCCCTCTCCTAGCCCAGGAGATAATTCAGTCTGATAAAATATTAACTTAATTATCTCCGGGCTGAAAAATCCAATTTTTCCCCAATAACTGGAACACCCCTTTATACTTGAGGTATCCCCATAAATTATATGTCCCCTGATAGCCCTGATCTGGGTGACCAACATATCCGAATTTCACCCAGATCGGTTCAGGGGTTCGCCAAAACTATGGAAGGCTCTTGTGACCGGCTCACCCTGGGCTGTATGCCCAAAACAGTTCCATGAATTTGGTGGGTTTTGCCCGTCACTTTAGAAAAAGCAGAAAAACGAACAAAGTACCGAATGAATCCCTCTGGCTCCTAGCAGCGTTCGTGCCCCTCTGTCGAATACACCAAAGTACCGAATAGCGCTTTTCTAGCTATTCGGTAAATGGAGTTCCAGCGTTCGTCTGTTTGGGACCGGTGTTCGGGAAGTCGAGTGTCCGTTTTCAGTTCCATGCACTCGACGACCAGGTCCCGCTGCCTTTGTTCGCATGAACAAAGATAGCTGCGGTTTTCTCTGCCACGTGGCGTTCGACTGACGAACGCTGGCCGCACAGACAGAGGTAGCAATTTCACCCAAACTTTGATGTTTAATGAGCCAGAGGGGTGGTCTTTGTTCGGTAGTTACATCTACCGAATGCAATGGGCAGAAATAGGGTAACAAAAGGGGAATGCAACGAGTATATATAATATAGCAAAAGGGGGTTTCTTCACAGTGGTGTCAGAAAGACTGTGGTATTCATGCTGTTGTTATAGATGCTCAGTGTATGGGTGTCCATGATAGGTATCTCACCAGACAGTCTATTATCCAAGAAGTGACATACTAACCACCTTGACGGGGAGCAAGCCACCTGGAGCACCTCTCTCTGGTCACGTTGTTCAGCATGGCCTCCTGGACTGCAACAGTGTGCACAGAGCAGCTACTGTATTGTGCATAGGATATTGTAACGTATCCCCTATACAATGACTGAGTATATCCGCTGAAGAGTCTCCCTAGTCCCGCAGAGTGAAAGTATCATATAGCTCTTGCGTTCCCAAACATCAGCCAAGACTTGATGAAAGGTAAATCAGAATGTTTTATTCGGACCAAGTTGCCAATTTATATACACAGACCCCCAGCATGAGGTCTTTATCCAGTTTCACAGTAAGCCCACCCAGACGCCTCTGTGTCTGGGAGATAAGAGAGCTAGCTTTTCCTTAAACAAATTATCTCGCAGGCACTCGAGGTACCTTACAACACACAAAACACCCCAAAATACATTCAAAGTGACTAGGAACCTCTACAGGTGTTATATTTCCGGATAGCCCGGATCCGAGCGCCCAAGTTGTCGAAATAGCGATTTCGGATCGGTATAGTATAGCCAAATTGCCACCGGGGTAAAGTTTTCACCGGCCACACACGTGGCTGATGCCTGAAATAGTTCCAGAGAAAAGGTACTTGCCGCCGACCCTCCTGTTACTCGTATCGAAAGCACTACTCTGGCTTGTCTGGACACGGAGCAGGCAACGATATGATTTTACGGATGTTCCAGGGTTCCAGTCTCTCGACGACATAGTCCCGCTGCCTACTTTCGGTAGACAAAATGGCCACCATTTGTTAGAGCATGTGTTGTTCGGTAACACAAATGGCGGCCACCCAGAAAGAGCACTTAACTTTGTGGTTGCTTTGAAGTTAACGAGTCAGGGGGGTGGTCAGGGTTCGGTTGAACAAAAATACAGAACAAAAGGGAATAGTAGAACGTTCGGTGGAAATGGGACGAAATGAAATTCGTTGATGCAGTTTGTTCAGAGGGAATTTAACACATAGTTTATTTCCAGTTCGTTACAGATGTAGAAGATCCTCTCACACAGCCAGTGAGACCATGCTACAAAAGAATGTAAGAGACAAAAGGGGGAGTTAATTGACACGGCGGGGGTAAGAAACACAAGAGAAGCAAAAAGAGGGATAAGGCACAAAAGGGGCATAAGAAAGATAAGAATATAAGAGGAAGCAAGAGACCACAAAGGGGAGTTAGAGATTCAAAAGGGGGATAAAATACCCAAAAGTGCGGCTTTCAATAGAAATCATGTTTATAAATTAACCTGGTGACACCCCCCTGGCTGTCAATCAGGCACCCGGTCCTGTTACTTCCTGGTTTGGTTAGTAGATAATATGAATTGTAGGAATTATACGGTGGGCTACATGTAAGCGTTTACATATTGTTTCTGTATCGTTTTATAAATGTCTCGTTTATTGTTACATTTCCCCGTTCTGGATATTGTACAGCGCTGCGGAGTCAGTTGGCGCTATATAAATGACGATAATAAGGAGATTAGTGAATTAATAATCCACCTTCCACATGTTGGACAAGACAATGCAAATAATGGAGTGCAAGTGACGTCACATCCCCTCAGCAGCACCATTACATCATTAGCCAGCACTTACAGCAGAGAAAGTGACGTTTTATATCATCACACCAGTGATTGGTCAGAACTAATGTCAATCAATCCGTTACCATGGGAATGGGAAACGCGTTCGTTTGAGCTCAAGGTCCTTAGGTAACCTCAAAACGTGCGAGAAGTAAAGAGAAACCCCGCCCCTTTCAGAATCCTGCGAGCTGATTGGCTAAGCAGGATCACACGCTCCTTGTTCATTTCAATCGCTAAGCCAACGAATGTGACGTAATCACCGTGCGCCCAGCGGAGTCGGCCATCTTTATTAAGGGTACCTGACATTGCAATATCTAATAAACCGTACATTGATATTACTAAACATTAATAATAAACACATTTCACTTACAACAGAGTGTATTATGGCTGTCAGAGGGATTTACCGCGAAATGCAGAGCAATAACCTCACTGTCCTCACATGGAGTAATTAGTAATTAGTGTCATGTGATCCCGGGGCTGGGGGTTAATCTGCCACTTCGTGTTATCTGCCTCTCTGAACCATAAACCATTCCATCAACCCTCTCAGGGCCACCAAAATCCTCCCAGACTGGCCCAACATGGAGGACTTGCCCACATCCAAAATGGCGGCACCAGCTTCATGAAATCAGAAGGTGAGTCCAGAGCTGGGACTGCTGAGACAGGGAGAAGGTGAGAGTTTATATGGCTGCACCCTCTGTATATCCCATGTTACCCCAGTCACTGTATCTATAGATATCTATATACACACATTGCTCAGTGTGACCCCCAGGGGGAGGATCTGCACCCTCTGTATATCCCATGTTACCCCAGTCACTGTATCTATAGATATCTATATACACACATTGCTCAGTGTGACCCCAGGGGGAGGATCTGCACTCTCTGTATATCCCATGTTACCCCAGTCACTGTATCTATAGATATCTATATACACACATTGCTCAGTGTGACCCCCAGGGGGAGGATCTGCACCCTCTGTATATCCCATGTTACCCCAGTCACTGTATCTATAGATATCTATATACACACATTGCTCAGTGTGACCCCCAGGGGGAGGATCTGCACTCTCTGTATATCCCATGTTACCCCAGTCACTGTATCTATAGATATCTATATACACACATTGCTCAGTGTGACCCCCAGGGGGAGGATCTGCACTCTCTGTATATCCCATGTTACCCCAGTCACTGTATCTATAGATATCTATATACACACATTGCTCAGTGTGACCCCCAGGGGGAGGATCTGCACTCTCTCTCTGTATATCCCATGTTACCCCAGTCACTGTATCTATAGCTATCTATATACACACATTGCTCAGTGTGACCCCAAGGGGGAGGATCTGCACTCTCTGTATATCCCATGTTACCCCAGTCACTGTATCTATAGATATCTATATACACACATTGCTCAGTGTGACCCCCAGGGGGAGGATCTGCACTCTCTGTATATTCCATGTTACCCCAGTCACTGTATCTATAGCTATCTATATACACACATTGCTCAGTGTGACCCCCAGGGGGGGGATCTGCACTCTCTGTATATCCCATGTTACCCCAGTCACTGTATCTATAGCTATCTATATACACACATTGCTCAGTGTGACCCCAAGGGGGAGGATCTGCACTCTCTGTATATCCCATGTTACCCCAGTCACTGTATCTATAGATATCTATATACACACATTGCTCAGTGTGACCCCAGGAGGATCTTGCACTCTCTGTATGTCCCATGTTACCCCGGTCACTGTATCATAGATATCTATATGCATTGCTCAGTGTGACCCCGGGGAGGATCTGCACTCTCTGTATATCCCCTGTTACCCCAGTCACTGTATCTATAGATATCTATATACACACATTGCTCAGTGTGACTCCCAGGGGGGAGGATCTGCACTCTCTGTATATCCCCTGTTACCCCAGTCACTGTATCTATAGATATCTATATACACACATTGCTCAGTGTGACCCCCAGGGGGGGGGATCTGCACTCTCTGTATATCCCATGTTACCCCAGTCACTGTATCTATAGATATCTATATACACACATTGCTCAGTGTGACCCCCAGGGGGAGGATCTGCACTCTCTGTATATCCCATGTTACCCCAGTCACTGTATCTATAGATATCTATATACACACATTGCTCAGTGTGACCCCCAGGGGGAGGATCTGCACTCTCTGTATATCCCATGTTACCCCAGTCACTGTATCTATAGATATATATATACACACATTGCTCAGTGTGACCCCCAGGGGGAGGATCTGCACTCTCTGTATATTCCATGTTACCCCAGTCACTGTATCTATAGCTATCTATACACATTGCTCAGTGTGAGCCCCAGGGGGAGGATCTGCACTCTCTGTATATTCCATGTTACCCCAGTCACTGTATCTATAGATGTCTGTATACACACATTGCTCAGTGTGACCCCCGGGAGGATCTGCACTCTCTGTATGTCCATCACAGTCACTGTGTCTATGAATGTCTATATACACACATTGCTCAGTGTGACCCCCAGGGGGGATCTGCACTCTCTGTATATCCATGTTACCCCAGTCACTGTATCTATGGAATATCTATATACACACATTGCTCAGTGTGACCCCAGGGGATCTGCACTCTCTGTATATCATGTTACCCCAGTCACTGTATCTATAGATATCTATATACACACATTGCTCAGTGTGACCCCAGGAGGATCTGCACTCTGTATATCCCATATTGCCCCAGTCACTGTATCTATAGATATCTATATACACACATTGCTCCAGTGTGACCCCCAGGGGAGGATCTGCACTCTCTGTATATCCCATGTTACCCCAGTCACTGTATCTATAGATATCTATATACACACATTGCTCAGTGTGACCCCCAGGGGGAGGATCTGCACCCTCTGTATATCCCATGTTACCCCAGTCACTGTATCTATAGATATCTATATACACACATTGCTCAGTGTGACCCCCAGGGGGAGGATCTGCACTCTCTGTATATTCCATGTTACCCCAGTCACTGTATCTATAGCTATCTATATACACACATTGCTCAGTGTGACCCCCAGGGGGGGGATCTGCACTCTCTGTATATCCCATGTTACCCCAGTCACTGTATCTATAGATATCTATATACACACATTGCTCAGTGTGACCCCCCAGGGGGAGGATCTGCACTCTCTGTATATCCCCTGTTACCCCAGTCACTGTATCTATAGATATCTATATACACACATTGCTCAGTGTGACCCCCAGGGGGGGGATCTGCACTCTCTGTATATCCCATGTTACCCCAGTCACTGTATCTATAGATATCTATATACACACATTGCTCAGTGTGACCCCAAGGGGGAGGATCTGCACTCTCTGTATATCCCATGTTACCCCAGTCACTGTATCTATAGATATCTATATACACACACTGCTCAGTGTGACCCCCAGGGGGAGGATCTGCACTCTCTGTATATCCCATGTTACCCCAGTCACTTTATCTATAGATATCTATATACACACATTGCTCAGTGTGACCCCCCAGGGGGAGGATCTGCACTCTCTGTGTATCCCATGTTACCCCAGTCACTGTATCTATAGATGTCTATATACACACATTGCTCAGTGTGACCCCCAGGGGGAGGATCTGCACTCTCTGTATATACCATGTTACCCTAGTCACTGAATAAATGAATTGGTGTTTTTGGCATTGTTTTGCAGGGTGGTAATATGTGGAGCGAGCTGGGATGTGTGTTACGAGGAGCCTCAAGGGTGGGGCAGGCTGCAGTGGACATGGGGTGTGAGCGCTTTCGAATGGTCAGGATCACCTCAACACTTGGAACAGGAATTAATTCAATGCAAGCTGCTGCCGAACGATGTGTGACAATCTTATTCACCCGTAGCCAGGTATGTATGTCTTTCACTAGGAGAGACTGGTCCATTAAACATGTCACTGTCATTAGTACACTGTGACCCTGGGAGGGACTGACCCTTAAACATGTCACTGTCATTAGTACACTGTGACCCTGGGAGGGACTGACCCTTAAACATGTCACTGTCATTAGTACACTGTGACCCTGGGAGGGACTGACCATTAAACATGTCACTGTCATTAGTACACTGTGACCCTGGGAGGGACTTACCATTAAACATGTCACTGTCATTAGTACACTGTGACTCTGGGAGAGACTGACCCTTAAACATGTCACTGTCATTAGTACACTGTGACACTGGGAGGGACTGACCCTTAAACATGTCACTGTCATTAGTACACTGTTACCCTGGGAGGTACTGACCCTTAAACATGTCACTGTCATTAGTACGCTGTGACCCTGGGAGGGACTGACCATTAAACATGTCACTGTCATTAGTATACAGTCACACTAGGAGGGACTGACCCTTAATTATGTCACAGCACAAGCAAAACTGCTCTTAATTACTACTGTTTGTACTATTAGCACAATTCAGTCATGTTATCTTTGTCCAGACCAGCATTCCAGATTCAAGAGTTCGTTCGCCTTCCCCAGAGCCCAGTTTATCAGACTTTCCCCCAGCAGAAGAGATGACCAGTTCCATAGATGGAGCCCCTGGTTCACTGTTGGCAAGGAAAGGCCCAGACTTGTCTAGATCAGGCATTGGGCAGATCAGAACATTCCGAAATTATAGCACGGTCAGGGGTCTGACAGCTGACGAACTCAAACGAATGAGGGAAACCAAATCACAGAATGGAGCGGAGAGGCCTGGAAAAATGATACGACAGAAGGTGAGAGTTTTATATAGTGACCAGTGTATTAACACAACTATGTTTCTATCTCATCCGTTCCCCGTCTCTCTCATTCTCTATCTCTTCTACCCATTTCCTGTCCCTGTCATTCTCCTCTATCCCATGCTATCATAGTCTCTATCATTCTATCCCATGCTAGCATAGTCTCTATCATTCTATCCCATGCTATCATAGTCTCTATCATTCTATCCCATGCTATCATAGTCTCTATCATTCTATCCCATGCTATCATAGTCTCTATCATTCTATCCCATGCTATCATAGTCTCTATCATTCTATCCCATGCTATCATAGTCTCTATCATTCTATCCCATGCTATCATAGTCTCTATCATTCTATCCCATGCTATCATAGTCTCTATCATTCTATCCCATGCTATCATAGTCTCTATCATTCTATCCCATGCTATCATAGTCTCTATCATTCTATCCCATGCTATCATAGTCTCTATCATTCTATCCCATGCTATCATAGTCTCTATCATTCTATCCCATGCTATCATAGTCTCTATCATTCTATCCCATGCTATCATAGTCTCTATCATTCTATCCCATGCTATCATAGTCTCTATCATTCTATCCCATGCTATCATAGTCTCTATCATTCTATCCCATGCTAGCATAGTCTCTATCATTCTATCCCATGCTCTCATAGTCTCTATCATTCTATCCCATGCTAGCATAGTCTCTATCATTCTATCCCATGCTATCATAGTCTCTATCATTCTATCCCATGCTCTCATAGTCTCTATCATTCTATCCCATGCTAGCATAGTCTCTATCATTCTATCCCATGCTATCATAGTCTCTATCATTCTATCCCATGCTATCATAGTCTCTATCATTCTATCCCATGCTATCATAGTCTCTATCATTCTATCCCATGCTATCATAGTCTCTATCATTCTATCCCATGCTATCATAGTCTCTATCATTCTATCCCATGCTATCATAGTCTCTATCATTCTATCCCATGCTAGCATAGTCTCTATCATTCTATCCCATGCTATCATAGTCTCTATCATTCTATCCCATGCTATCATAGTCTCTATCATTCTATCCCATGCTATCATAGTCTCTATCATTCTATCCCATGCTATCATAGTCTCTATCATTCTATCCCATGCTAGCATAGTCTCTATCATTCTATCCCATGCTCTCATAGTCTCTATCATTCTATCCCATGCTAGCATAGTCTCTGTCATTCTATCCCATGCTAGCATAGTCTCTGTCATTCTATCCCATGCTAGCATAGTCTCTGTCATTCTATTCCATGCTATCATAGTCTCTGTCATTCTATCCCATGCTATCATAGTCTCTATCATTCTATCCCATGCTAGCATAGTCTCTGTCATTCTATCCCATGCTCTCATAGTCTCTATCATTCTATCCCATGCTATCATAGTCTCTGTCATTCTATCCCATGCTATCATAGTCTCTGTCATTCTATCCCATGCTATCATAGTCTCTATCATTCTATCCCATGCTAGCATAGTCTCTATCATTCTATCCCATGCTAGCATAGTCTCTATCATTCTATCCCATGCTAGCATAGTCTCTATCATTCTATCCCATGCTATCATAGTCTCTATCATTCTATCCCATGCTAGCATAGTCTCTATCATTATCCCCCCCCAGTCTCTATCATTATCCCCCCCAGTCTCTATCATTATCCCCCCCAGTCTCTATCATTATCCCCCCCAGTCTCTATTATTCATATCTTTCAGTGGAATGGGATTTGTTTCCATTGAACCCCCCCGTACATCCGTCACATCCGCATGACCCCACACGCCTCTGCTACTACCCCCGTCTTCTAGTTTTCTCTTATGTTCTTATTTTTATTCATATTACTTTATTATGGTCTACTTATTAATGCACAAGTACATTCTGCAGTAGAAAAAAAAAAATAATAAACCTGCCCAGAACATGAAAAAATCTGCAGTACCAACAAATGTGAGAAATATTTATATTTCACAGCTCAGTGACCGAGCGAGAGAGAGGAAGGTGCCTGCGTCTCGGATGAGCCGCTTGGCAAACTTTGGAGGTAAATATATGTGTGTTTTATATAAGCTTCCATGTTATAATTCTTTGTTCGCCCATTGACTTGTTGTTCTTGGACTCTCGCTCTCACCAGGCCTCGCGGTCAGTCTTGGAATCGGTGCGTTGACAGAAGTCGCAAAGCAGTCTCTGAGCAGAGGAGAGAAGCAGAATGGTGAGAGCAAATAGGCCCATGCTTCGTTGTACATAGCTTGTTTGATTGTTAGTTCTTTGGCTTGGCTTATTCCTTGTTGCTCAGCAGGTAGCAGTTCTTACCTAATGGCCAACCCATTCCTGAGTGAAACTAATGCGGAGAAAATTGTGGACACGCTGTGCAAAGTGCGAGGAGCAGCGCTGAAGATTGGGCAAATGCTCAGCATACAAGGTGCGTTAGGTGAAATTATGCTAACATGGGGGGGGTTGAGGGCAGGGGTGACTCCATTGCTCACCTGTCTGATTACCTTTGAAATAATTCCCTTTGCCTGCCACCCCCAAGAAGCTTTTTGCCATTCTGCGATTCCACCATACCATTCTCAAACTCATGATTTGTCCTGGAGACAATCCAAGGTTTATCCTACGGGTTTAGTTACAGTTCCATTCATACATCCCCTTCTGTTTTTGATCTCTTATCGTGTATTCATCTCGACATTACTGGCTTCTGTTAAATAGCAATCAAAAAAGCGACTGAACTGTATTACTGCTATTTTGAATAATTCTGTAGAATGTGTTGAGGATCCAGTTACATCAGATAAGCCGTAGTGACATTTACTAGGACACATCCTAGTGAGGAACATCACAAAAAGTTCCCTGGCTTTCCTTACTCTGAAGACACTGGTATACGTTTTCTTAATGGTATTTAAAGGTGTATACAATATATATATTAATAATCTTCTTACACTTCCAGATAACACCTTTATCAGTCCGGAGTTGCAGAAAATCTTTGAGCGTGTCCGTCAGAGCGCAGACTTCATGCCAACATGGCAAATGACGGTGAGTTTCTATTTACAGTAATACAGTGACTGTTTGTGATATAAATGCCAAAATTAGCAGTAACCCCCGGCATTTTTTCCTGTGTATTTATTTATTTGTTTCCAACAAACAGAAAGTTCTAGAGGAGGAACTAGGTTCAAATTGGAGAGATAAGTTGGATTCCTTTGAAGACAGACCTTTTGCTGCAGCGTCCATTGGTCAGGTTCATTTTGCAAAGTTAAAAGATGGCCGCGAGGTGGCTATGAAGATCCAGGTGAGAGAGCGATTATGCATTATACTTCTCTTGTGAATGGACTATAATTTCCCTTTATTTCATCAAAATATTGGCAAATTACTGTGTAACACTTTCTGCTCCATGCGATTCTGAGACTTAAAGCGGTTTGTTTGTGGAGAATGGATTAGCAGCAATTCAGCGCTAGTTAATCGGGTTTACTTGATACAGATATTTTGGCTGTATAAAGAAGTGAAACTCATTCCAAGCAGGGAGGCCATCCTGAGGATGCCTTGAATCCTTCTGTTTGTGTCAAAGCACTTGAAAAACGTTTGACAAAACAAGAGCATTTATAAAGTCTTTGCACAATAACAACTCTGATCATCTGTAATATAATCAACAGTAATAATGTTATGGTGCTTAGAGCCTCTCTTTAAAAGGACTTGTTAAAAAGCTTTGTGTGAACAGTGCGTCCTCTTTTTTGATTTTAGAAAAAGTGTAGATTTGAAAAGAAATTGGCTTTTAAAAAAAATTATTAAAATGATTACACCACACTGGCTGTCGATCAGACAAGCAGTCTTGTTACTTTCTGGTTTGTTTAGTTCAGAGACGCTAAACTCAAGAGGCAGATATTGCCCAGAGCCCCTGCCTTGCAAAGACTTCTCATTGAGCTGTATTGGGAAGTCTGTGATTGGACAGCCACAGAAAGACTGGGTGGTAAAGAAGGGGAGGGCTTGCAAAGATGCAGACAAGAGATCTGCAGGTATTGCAAGAGGTTTTTAGATATAGCACCAATTAAAACTTGCATAAATAAATGTTCTCATTTCGGGTATGTCTACTAAATGATGATTTTTATTTATTTTGTATTTGGGCAGTGAAGTATCTCTTTAAGTTTCCTGAGATGCCAGGCTGTGGCCAAGCACACTTTTATGTTTAATCCCCCCAAAAATTTAAATTGAGGTGTATTTAAAAAAAAAAAATAATAAAAAAATATAGTAATACGACTATTCACAAACTGTCAAATCATTCTCCTGATCTCAGCCAGTCCCAGAATTTAGCCATGTACCCGTTCTTTCACCCCGTTTCTGCAGTATCCGGGAATCGCTCAGAGTATAAACAGCGACGTGGACAATCTTCTGGCAATACTGAAAATGAGCGTGGTTTTTCCTGAAGGTAGGTGTTAAATGCTATAATCAGAGACTGTTTACACTGCTCTACTACATGGACGCCATTTCATTTATGAATATTTCATACTATTGCACCTCGCGTCTTAAATATTTAAAGGATAACTGTCATCAATTTTTTTTATTTTTTTTTTAAATTCACGTGTTTTGAATTTTTAAATAAATAATTTGTCTACCCTTCCTACTCGCCCTTGCTGGCAGCCGTCTTCATGGGTCATCCGTTATCCCAATCAGTGCTTGCTATTTTGAAACAGTCCGTTGCTGTTAAAAATCTTCTGTCTGATGATTTTGAAAAGCCACGGGCTTTAGTGAGATAGCGGCAGTCTGACTGAAGGTGCCTGAAGCTGACTGGTGGAAAGGGTAGGGTGGTATATTACAACAAAGATGTTATTAAGAAAATTATGACCGTTATCATTCAATGTAAAACCCAGATTTATCACATGGATCTGTTGTGGCTGATAATTGGGATTCTTTCTTTTATCTCTGGGTTAAATTAGACCTGTTTTTAGACCACCCATCGATTTGCTAATGCTATGTATTTTATAAAAGTTTTAACCATGTTCTTGTGTTACAGTTTATATATGAAGTACAGACACCAGCTATGCTAGTGCTTGGTGGGGTTTACTGAGGGTACCTATATTTTAAGCAAGTGTTCCTATTCCACGACTTGTGCATGCGCAGTATTTAACGAAACACTAGCGTTTCCTAAGCTATTCTGCGATTATAACATACAAATTGTTTGAAGATTTTGCTAAAGTGCTTATAAGGACGCTGTAGGAACCATAACCATAACTATTTTTGATATTAGTTTAATTTTCAATGAGGGTTCTTGCCTTTCCATGCCCTGTCTCCACAGGAGGTGTGGCTACGGCAGAGGTAATAAACGTCATACCAATTCATACCTGCAATAGCACTGTGATAGGCCGAATGTGGTCAGCTGACACATTCAGTCAATCACAGCTGCTCAGGCTAATGCTTCCTCATTAGCCCAAGCATCATGGAAGGGATAGGATTCTAGGGAGTCTTTACTGTTAAAAGATTAAACAAGGTCTAACGGTGACTGGAAGGACAGCGCCAGGGGAAACCACACGCTACAGACACTATAGAGAGATGAAGCAGTTATGGTGCCTACAGTGTCCCTTTTAAAGTAGTTCTGCCACTAAAAATATGTTTTTCTAATCTGCTTTTAAATAGCTCTCTGGGGCTTTAGATTTCATACAATGTATAAGGAAAAGTAGGGACTGTTTTTTTTAAATTCTTTCTATGAATAGCAGTCACGATAACAAAACTTAATAATAGGCAGAGTTTAAGGTGAGGTTCTGTTTCAGTTGCCAATCAAATTTACCTAAAGTCTGTCAGTAAACGCAATGCCACAGAAGGGCAAACTGCAGATATTGAAATCAGACACAAAGAATAAAGGCTAATAAAAAAGGCAGGGGGCACAGAGAAAAGTAAACTGAAAGAAATGACTGTGTCAGCGTCGCTTTAAGTTGGTAAGTTTGTGCGATCTTAGAGGGATTCGGTGTATGGAGTAACACAGTGCAAAGCCAGGGTTAGGGTGCACACCAAGCACAGGGGAGAGGGATTGTCTGCCTGACTCACAAATATAACTTCACACTGAATGTGTATAAACCGTACATCACAATACTGTTGGAAAACAAAATGTCTTGCAACTGCAGAAAGCATAATGCAGCAAACCTCTACAACGTTTACATATATGAATTCTGAGTGGTAAAAATATGGCAGTCCAGTGATGTCTTCCACGTAGAATATTCTTACGCAGCCACGGACACAGTCTGACACGAAGTGAGCATTCGTTCCCACGCAGCACATCTCTTTAATGCTACGTTTTCTCCTTACCCTGCAGGATTATTTCCTGACAGTAGCATCCAGGTTCTGCAGAAAGAGCTCTCCTGGGAATGCGATTATAAACGTGAAGCCAGCTGTGCAAAGCAGTTCAGGTAAATAAAATGGAACATTAGCAAATGGTGCAGGGAATGTAACTTATTACCAGGTAAAGGTCACTGTCTGCGCAAGAGGCGTGGCCAACATTCTAATCTTCAAAAATATTATTAATAGCTAACCTTAGCACTGCTCTCAGAAGTAATCTACATTTCCCATGATGCTTCATACAGTAAATCATATGGAGTGCCAAGATTAGCCTCCACAGAATAAGGAAGCCTTTCTGCTGAGATGTCTTCCATTCCCGATTTAACCCTACAGAAACGTAATAACTGGGATGTAAGATCCACACTGGCCATTCTGTCCCCAAATTGAGCAGATTATTATTATATTGTGTGTGTGTGGTTCACATGCCTTCAAGTTCTGTATATCCACATTCCATAATCTACCTTGTCTCCAACAGACAGCTCCTGAATGGCGATCCCTTCTTCTGCGTTCCACAGGTCATTGATGAGCTCACAACGGAGCGGGTACTAACGCTGGAACTGGTGTCTGGAGTGCCACTAGACCAGTGCGTGAACCTGGACCAAGAGACACGGAATCAGGTTAATAACTATCCTGGGCATCTAATATAACCAATGGGTGCACTCTACAGGTTCCTTTGTGAAGGAAGAACTGTGGGCTATTAGCATGGGAACCATAGTTTTAGGCCAGAGCTAAAAAAAATTTTTTAAAAAGCATAGATGGAGGAATTTATTTCAATTTGGCCTGAAATACGCACTTTCACTGTCCGTCCCTAGTTTAGAGGATATGATGGGAGTGAGGAGGATTCGCCACTTGGTAGCAAGTCAGAGGGTCAGTTCATGTTTGTCTCCGTTCCTGTATTCCCATGGCAAACTGTGAGACACTTGTAGTTCTGGATCACACTGTGATGTGTCCATCACACACTCTCATACTTCCTCCCTGTTTCCATATTTAACATTTTATCTATTATACTGTAGGATTGCGCCACTCGCTCTGCCGTTCTCTGATTTCCTATTTCTGTCCTCTCCTAATATATTGCAGAATCACACCATGCTATCTCTGTACCCTTTATCCTTCCACATTTTACCACTCACTGCTGTATTTACACTAATATTATTATTATCTTTGGCATTTATATAGCTCTTTACAATATTACAAGAGGGGGAGATTTAACAATAAATGAGACAATTACAAAAACAGGAACAGTAGGTTAAAGAGAACCCTGCGCAAACGAGCTTAGTCTATTTGTTGTGATGGATGCCGTTCTCACCCCACTCCTTATATATATATTTCAGATATTATATGTTCTGTGTGACTCCCCCATATTACTGCCTGTTAAATTGCAGGATCACGCCGTGGGATGCGATGACACCGCTCTCACCTGCCCTCTCTTTATTTTAGATCTCGTACAACATCCTGCGTCTCAGCTTACAGGAAATCTTCCAGTTTCGCTTCATGCAGACAGATCCAAACTGGTCAAATTTCTTCTATGACGAAGAGAAAAATAAGGTAAGTGGACAGAGATCTGGTAAGTCGATGCAGGTTCATTCATTTTTATTTTTATTTTTTTTTAATTTTTTTTTTATTGGACCTGGATACTACAGAAAATACTGCATTTACCAAAGAATAAAAAAAAACAGTATTCCTAAACCACTCTGCACCCCACGTGTTCCCTCTCTTCAAAGAGGCAGAGCATATACTCCTTTGTACCAACGCCATCCTCTGCCAGTCTTGTACTGACCGACCCCTCCAACCCTCTCCAAACCTACCACCCCGTATACTCTTTATTTTCTTGTTTTAACTAATATTAGCATTTAACTTAATCTTCCCTAGATTAATCTACTGGATTTTGGTGCTAGTCGAAAATTTGGAGAGGAATTTACAGATGATTATATTGAGGTAGGTTCTTCTAATACAAAGACTACAATACCACAGACAACAGGACACCTACCTCTCACCTCCTCCTAATACACAGACATCAGGACACCTACCTCTCACCTCCTCCTAATACACAGACATCAGGACACCTACCTCTCACCTCCTCCTAATACACAGACATCAGGACACCTACCTCTCACCTCCTCCTAATACACAGACATCAGGACACCTACCTCTCACCCCCTCCTAATACACAGACACCGGGACAGGTACTTCTTTCTATACTTGACTGTATGTGTAGAATATATGATTGTATATCCGTGCATGGTGTATACTAATAATTCAGTATATGCAGTATGTAAATAATAAGAGTTTGGTTTAATTACTAGGAAATTAATTGAAATGTGAAATTATAAAAAAACTAATTGTGTAGGCAGTGTGTTAATGTCTACTTATTATTACCCCTGGTGTCTATAATATCAGCCTGCAGCTTTTTCATATAAATAATGATCTAAAATAAAACTTCTCATGCAGGTTGTTAAGGCGGCTGCAGACAGCAATAGAGAAAAAGTTCTGCAAAAATCTCGGGACCTTAAATTCCTAACAGGGTTTGAAACTAAGGTGAGTGACACGTCCCCTGTCCTGGTACTAGTGGGGAGTCTTCACTGACCTAAGACAGTTATTCACCAGAGTGAGAATGCAAACTGAATTTGTAAACTTAGGCCAAAGCTGATTTAGAGAATTATTACAGTTTGGCTATTATTAATTAGATTTTTAAATGATTTTGAGTTCTTAATTTAGTGGATATCCCTGCAAGTGTCTCCATGCTGTGCCGGTCCTCATCACAAAGCATCGGTGTTACTGGTCCATATAATTGGTGTTACTGGTCCATAATATCGGTGTCATTGGTCCATAGCATTGGTGTTACTGCTCCATAGCATTGGTGTTACTGGTCCATAATATCGGTGTCATTGGTCCATAATATCGGTGTCATTGGTCCATAATATCGGTGTTACTGGTCCATAATGTCGGTGTTACTGGTCCATAATATCGGTGTTACTGGTCCTTAATATCGGTGTTACTGGTCCATAATATCGGTGTTACTGGTCCTTAATATCGGTGTTACTGGTCCATAATATCGGTGTTACTGGTCCATAATGTCGGTGTTACTGGTCAATAATGTCGGTGTTACTGGTCCATAATATCGGTGTTACTGGTCCATAATGTCGGTGTTACTGGTCCATAATGTCGGTGTTACTGGTCCATAGCTGAGTTAGTTCGGTGTATATAATGCATTTCACATTGTACATTGACCTGTCTTTAATGGTAATCACGTGTGTGACCTGCTCTGTATATAACTTGATAGCTGTTTTGACCAATCCGGCCTGACTGATATATACAGTAGGCATTCTAGTTTGTGTTGTAATTAGTAAAAATGTATTTATTTCAGTTATATTATAGGTATTTTTATTTTCTTTGTTCTATACGTCACTGAGAAGCACTTCACACTGAAGGGTTATTTCTTTGCATCTGATTAAGTGCTTAACGTTCCCGAAAGTGTGCAAGACGTCCCCCTAATCTCCACCTGCTTTAAATAATAAGTGATGGACTATATCTACCCCAATCCCCCCACATCCCCCTGTGCTCACACAGTCCATTCCATTCTATCACCTTCCATTCTGCAGCTTCTCATGCACCACAAGGTAACTAGATCTGGACTTCCTGTCTGTTTACCTCTCCTTCACGCCCACATGTCGTTCTTCGTTTTGCACTGTTAGATGCAGCTTTCTCCTAGATTGTAAGCTCCTTTGTCACGACTCTCTTTACTCTGTCTTTCTGTTCACAGTGTCTGGTTTGACTTGCTTGGTTAATGCTTCTTTTTGTGAAATTATAAATTACTGCGGAATTATTTGGGCTAATATCAATTTTATTAATAACTGGGCTTGAATTTCATTTTAGTGAATGAGTGTGCAGGGTGCCTCGCTATGTTCAATGCGTGGACTCTAGGATGGTTGCCCCATCCTTTAATTAATGCTGTACAATCAAAAGCTGCTTTTAATGAATTCTGGCTAATTGAATGAAAGAATTCTCAGAGAGAGAATATCTCTATATAGTGCTACTACCAGATTCATTACCGTTTCTCCTTTGTCTGGGGTTGCATTAGCCTTGTGTTGTTTATTTATTTAACTTTCTGTTTTTATAGATTTTATTTATTTTTCCCCTTTGATCCATTCTTTTCTTGCAGACTGTACCTGCTGAAACCCATAACCTTTTACCTGATGCCTGTAGCGATTTTATTGTTATTTTGTTCTGGGAGTCACTAGACGTTCCATTACACTCCTGCTAGTCCTAAGATAGTTCTGCGTCCTGCATCCTGTGATCCGATGGCTATTATTTCCCTTAGTAATCATTTCTATTTGAATCCATGGATATAAAGATAATGAAGGACTTAACTGTCCCCATAAACCGCTCCCTGCTCTTCCAAATGCCCTCTGATTCAGAGCAGATTTATTATGTTTTTGAGCTTCATTTTAATAACAACAAATCTCTTAAATTTGCTTCCAAATACCGTAATTTCATTTTTAATTTCATTGCAGCCAAAAGACTTTTCACCCTCAGGGGGAGAATATGTCTTTGTCTCGATTTTAAACGGGTCAGAGATCCCTAGGGGAGAGATTTAATTATACAATGAATGATCAATAACACAGCTTCTATCACAGCTAATGTGTTCATTCTCAGTTATATCCGTCATGTGTATTTTAGCACAGCACTATTCTTCTAGAATTTGACAGAACCGATCCTTTCGGGTCTTGTTGAGTTCCTGTAGAGACTTCGGTGAGCAATCAGCAGTCCTAGCGTAAACGAAAACCCGCGGAGCCATAATCTCATTATTAAGGGATTTCCAGGGACTTCTGCTTGTATTTCATAAACACCGTCCCAGTCAAAGCCCCAGTACGTCTGAAAAAAAATATATAATAAAAATATCTAATCCCCTGTTATAGAGGCTGATTTTATACCCCTTGTCTGCCTAGGACACAAGGAAGACAGAGCGAAGGCATTGCTCAAAAATACACTTCGGAATCTCCTAAAATCTGTCAAACTGTTCCCACGTGTTTGGAGGTGTTTCTTGTAGAGCGAATAGGATTTATATATAAAAATTACACAATGAGTGATCAATAACACCGTGTCTATCACAGATAATGTGTTCATTCCCAGTCAGATCCATTTCTTTCTGTGTATGTGTTAATTGGTTATACGGTTTTATTGATTGGAGATTTTTGTATAGTTTTTGTTTATTTTCCTTTTTTTACCATTTTTCTAACATTGCTTTGAAAGTAAGACTTAGAAATAAGCTGTTTCTTCTCTACAGGTCTTCGAAGAAGCTCACATAGACGCAGTAATGATCCTCGGAGAGGCATTTGCTTCAGAAGAGCCGTTCAATTTTGGCACACAGAGCACTACAAGCAGGATCCATGACCTAATCCCAGTCATGCTAAAACACCGACTCACTCCACCACCAGAAGAATCCTACTCACTGCACCGCAAAATGGCAGGCTCCTTCCTGATCTGTGCCAAGCTGCGAGCCATAATCCCGTGCAAGGAGCTATTCCAGGGCATATACCGCCAATACTGGGAGCAGCGACATGGGGGAGAGCAAGCGATAAGCTCATAGTCAACTTCTTTTCCAGCTTGGAAATGGGTATAATGATTCAGTGCCACCACAGCCTGTGATCTGCTGCCACGGAGATGGGAACCTGCTAACGTGTTATCCATGTGTTTATAAGACTTGCATTCAGAGACCCAGGAAAGTGAGGGGGGCTGCCAGGTGAGGACAGGTGGAAAGCATTTCTGGTGCATAGTGGGATGGAGAGAGAGAAGAAACAGAAGGTTAAATTGGGAAAACAAGTGAGGATAAATAGCACATATATATATAGCCACCTTTCCACACTTCCACCAAGAAGAATATTTAATCCAGACATTGGATGTATAGCTTTCATTTGATTAATTACCCACATGTCACATTGTTGTGAAAGGAGCCTTTAATGTTCTCATTAATCTCTCTATTTCTCACACAGACCCACCAAGAACAGAGAATTGAAGGCTGTTCCTGTCACTGCAGGTCCTTGTTAACTACATTTCCCATTATGCACATTAAACATTTGGGGTATAAGCATCATGGGAAATGTAGTTTGTGAAGATGTGCAGTGGCATGGTTAACCATTACTAACTTGGAGCCAATCTCATGTCATTCTGTTTGTAAGAAAAGAAAGAAAAATCCTAATCATAAAGTTATTTGCCTTTAGAAGTAAATTAAAGTGAAATGTCCGTTCTCAAGGAGTTTCTGATTATACTTACTTCCCCGTTTATATTTAACAGCTATATATGTGAAAAGTAAAAATAAATGTAGGAATTCACAGCTCTTTATCCTGTAACTGGGCGCTGCCATTTTAGCTCCCTGTCAATCATTGTTATAAGCTCCGCCCTTTACACCTGGCAGTCAGTATAGAGAGAGCCGCCTCCATCTTAGCTCCCTGTCAATCATTGTTATAAGCTCCGCCCTTTACACCTGGCAGTCAGTATAGAGAGAGCCGCCTCCATCTTAGCTCCCTGTCAATCATTGTTATAAGCTCCGCCCTTTACACCTGGCAGTCAGTATAGAGAGAACCACCTCCATCTTAGCTCCCTGTCAATCATTGTTATAAGCTCCGCCCTTTACACCTGGCAGTCAGTATAGAGAGAGCCACCTCCATCTTAGCTCCCTGTCAATCATTGTTATAAGCTCCGCCCTTTACACCTGGCAGTCAGTATAGAGAGAGCCGCCTCCATCTTAGCTCCCTGTCAATCATTGTTATAAGCTCCGCCCTTTACACCTGGCAGTCAGTATAGAGAGAGCCACCTCCATCTTAGCTCCCTGTCAATCATTGTTATAAGCTCCGCCCTTTACACCTGGCAGTCAGTATAGAGAGAGCCGCCTCCATCTTAGCTCCCTGTCAATCATTGTTATAAGCTCCGCCCTTTACACCTGGCAGTCAGTATAGAGAGAGCCGCCTCCATCTTAGCTCCCTGTCAATCATTGTTATAAGCTCCGCCCTTTACACCTGGCAGTCAGTATAGAGAGAGCCACCTCCATCTTAGCTCCCTGTCAATCATTGTTATAAGCTCCGCCCTTTACACCTGGCAGTCAGTATAGAGAGAGCCGCCTCCATCTTAGCTCCCTGTCAATCATTGTTATAAGCTCCGCCCTTTACACCTGGCAGTCAGTATAGAGAGAGCCCCTCCATCTTAGCTCCCTGTCAATCATTGTTATAAGCTCCGCCCTTTACACCTGGCAGTCAGTATAGAGAGAGCCACCTCCATCTTAGCTCCCTGTCAATCATTGTTATAAGCTCCGCCCTTTACACCTGGCAGTCAGTATAGAGAGAGCCCCCTCCATCTTAGCTCCCTGTCAATCATTGTTATAAGCTCCGCCCTTTACACCTGGCAGTCAGTATAGAGAGAGCCGCCTCCATCTTAGCTCCCTGTCAATCATTGTTATAAGCTCTGCCCTTTACACCTGGCAGTCAGTATAAAGAGAGCCACCTCCATCTTAGCTCCCTGTCAATCATTGTTATATGCTCCGCCCTTTACACCTGGCAGTCAGTATAGAGAAAGCACCTCCATCTTAGCTCCCTGTCAATCATTGTTATAAGCTCCGCCCTTTACACCTGGCAGTCAGTATAGAGAGAGCCGCCTCCAATCTTAGCTCCCTGTCAATCATTGTTATAAGCTCCGCCCTTTACACCTGGCAGTCAGTATAGAGAGAGCCACCTCCATCTTAGCTCCCTGTCAATCATTGTCATAAGCTCCGCCCTTTACACCTGGCAGTCAGCATAGAGAGAGCCACCTCCATCTTAGCTCCCTGTCAATCATTGTTATAAGCCCCGCCCTTTACACCTGGCAGTCAGTATAGAGAGAGCCGCCTCCATCTTAGCTCCCTGTCAGTCATTGTTATATGCTCCGCCATTTACACCTGGCAGTCAACATAGAGAGAGCCGCCTCCATCTTAGCTCCCTGTCAATCATTGTTATAAGCTCCGCCCTTTACACCTGGCAGTCAACATAGAGAGAGCCACCTCCATCTTAGCTCCCTGTCAATCATTGTTATAAGCTCCGCCCTTTACACCCGGCAGTCAGTATAGAGAGAGCCGCCTCCATCTTAGCTCCCTGTCAGTCATTGTTATAAGCTCCGCCCTTTACACCTGGCAGTCAACATAGAGAGAGCCGCCTCCATCTTAGCTCCCTGTCAGTCATTGTTATAAGCTCCGCCCTTTACACCTGGCAGTCAGTATAGAGAGAGCCTCCTCCATCTTAGCTCCCTGTCAATCATTGTTATAAGCTCCGCCCTTTACACCCGGCAGTCAGTATAGAGAGAGCAACCTCCATCTTAGCTCCCTGTCAATCATTGTTATAAGCTCCGCCCTTTACACCCGGCAGACAGAGCGGAGGAGGAATGGTTTCTTTCTCTCCTTCATTTACAATGTTTGCCCTGGCTTTGTCTGAATTGGATTATGATGTGATTTGCTAAATCCTTAATATAAATTTATAAGAAAACCGAGAATCTCCCAGAATTTATCTATGCTTTATTTAGTGATGTATTTAAAAAATGAAAGAAGAATCCTGTCACTATTGAGAATATTTTGGGGGAAAGCAGTCGACACATTTTATTTATTTTATTTTTTACTTCCTTTTTACATCCAATTACTTTTCGATGTATGTAGGATGAACTCATATAAAGAGTTATTAAGCCATCATTAATTAGGGAAATAAAGGTTCAAATTAGGGTTGTAATAACACAACTCCATGCTTCCGACAGTGAATGAAAAGTGCTCCCCAGCCGTATCCTGAAATAGTAATGGCGGCATAATATCAGTCAGTTATTTCCTGTGGTTTCTGTGAGATCCATTATGTCATTAACCCCTTGATTTCACTCATGGAACTCCTACCCCCAGACCTTTAAAAATATGGCGGATATTCTTTCCAATTCTAAAAGAAAGTTGGCTTTTCAGACATTTTATATCTTCTTTTCTGGTTTAAAAAGAGCTGCTAAAGTAACCCAAAAAGTCTTATTTATAAGCACCCCCATTTTTCCGTCAAGCTACAGATTCACTGATGAGAATTGGAGATTATGTTCTGTGTTCTGCATTTACACTGTGCGCATTCCTTCACTCACTGCCATTTCTGGACGACGTCATTCATGGCGAATTGCGCCACAGAAAAGAGGTGCAAAAATATATAATAAAATATAATTCTAATAAAATACAATAAACCAGGATAAGAATAGTCTTTGGATAAAATAAATGTAAAGATAAAGTCCAGCTTTAGTATCTTGGTTCTTTATACTTGAGTGTTCTTCAGGGTCTAGGTCTTCTCAGTCTCCGTATGTGGAAAGAGAAAAGACAGAGCGACCTGATAGTGTAGTATGTCTGGGCTAAAACGGACAACACTTAAAAGATAAAAGTATTGCACTCACATGGACAAGAGCTATGACCAGCTCTTGTGGGGGGGCGAACCTGGTCCCCATAGCGGTGCCTCTCTTTTGGAGGTAAAAAAGTCTAAAAACCAGAAATAATTATTAGTTAGTATAATATTGATGCCTTCTAGGATAAAATCTATTTGGTCATCAGGTATTCGTGCTTCGGTCTTAAGGGTATTTTTAACAGCTTCGCAACCTATATCATGGGGAATAATTGTATATAATGATTGCACATCACACGTAACTAAAATAAGATTTGGATTCCAATTAAAGTTACATAGGAATCTTAAGAGTGACATTGAATCTATTAAATATGACCTCATTAATCTTGCTGATGGTTGTAGGAGGATGTCAATATATTTGGATAGGTTGCACAGGAGAGAACCAATCCCTGATACAATTGGTCTACCTGGGTTTTTTTTTATTTTATTTTTATTTACTTAATCTGGCATTTTTTCATTTTCTTTTATTTATTGAGCGGTTACCTATTTTATTCTCAAGAACATTCTAGGTGGGGATCATACCACTAACGCTGTCATCACGGAACAGTAAGTCTGCTCCATACTTGTAAGTAAGATTTTATTAATTTTATTTACCTGTATTATATTACTGAGAGCACTATCTGTGGCTGTCTTTTCTGTTTCGAGTACCTAGATTACCATCTACGGTGAAAGACTACGACCATCATATCCCATGAGTGGGGATTATAACACTGTATGCGATATCTACTAGAGCTGGTCATAGCTCTTGTCCATGTGAGTGCAATACTTTTATCTTTTAAGTGTTGTCCGTTCTAGCCCAGACATACTACACTATCAGGTCGCTCTGTCTTTTCTCTTTCCACATACGGAGACTGAGAAGACCTAGACCCTGAAGAACACTCAAGTATAAAGAACCAAGATACTAAAGCTGGACTTTATCTTTACATTTATTTTATCCAAAGACTATTCTTATCTTGTTTATTGTATTTTATTAGAATTATATTTTATTATATATTTTTGCACCTATTTTCTGTGGCGCAGCCCTTCTTCATTTTATTCTCTTTTCTGTTACTTTGAAGGGCTCAGAGGGATCCCCTTCTTAGGGTTGCTGCCTTACCTTATTTTTATTTTCATTTAATCAGCGCTGACCCTTTTAGTTTTTTATCTTTATATTGTCTGCTGGATCCTGTGTCCCTCTTCTTCTAGCAAGCTCATTGGCTGAGAGAGAGCACTCATGGACACTATGGTCACCACAACAACCACAGCTTAATATAGTGGATCTGGTGTGTCTAGTCTGTCCATGCAGGCTTTTTAATGTAAACACTGCCTGTTAGAGTGCCTAGTAACACCTCTAGTTGCACTCACTGAGAGGGCCACTAGAGGTGCCACAATGTGCAGCATGGACATTCAGCTCCGCATGGAGGCGTTGAGAGTTCCTCATAGAGATGCTGATTGGTGCAGCATTTGCTGTGCATGCGCAATAGCATCCCAATGCTTTCCTTTTGGAAAGCATTGGATGAGCTCAGATGAGCAGGTTTGATGATCTCAGCTAATCTCCTTTTACAAGGATTAACAAAATATACCAGTCTACATGCAAACTCCAAATATGTGAAATAACACAAAAAAATACTTTTCATAGGGGTTAGTGGAACTCTGGCGTATATATATATATTTTTTTATATTTGGTTTTTATGCTGGGTTCCACCCCCATGGTACTTAGAGAATTATTTTATTTCTATTTTGATTTAATAAATTATATATATTTTTTTAACCTATTCCAAGTCCTCTTTATCTTCACACACAACAGGAAATGGCACCGCTAGCCTGAATTGGCAACCTGAGCCTGCTATACAGAGCCTGGTACGGCTCTGGGAAATGTGAGTGGTAGTCCTAAGTAACAGCATTGTTCTCTGTTTTTAAACGGTTCACACTATGTTGTGTTTTATTTTATAGATATTATCCGAACATATCTCTACTCATGGTAGTATTATTTTAATTTTATTTAATTTTTTGTGTTATTTCACATATTTGGAGTTTGCATGTAGACTGGTATATTTTGTTAATCCTTGATTTCTTATGTTTGGTGCCACTGGGAAGCAGTCACATCATCCACCTACATTATCTTTGAAATATTGATTGTGAAGCGCCACACACTATTTTGATTGTATTTATTATTAATCTCCTTTTACATTGGTTAAATGTTTGTATTCCTGTCGCTATAGTGACCGCCACTGAGCTGGCCATGGAGTGTATAAGAGGGTCTAGCATAAGGTAGTAACTTAGTTGTGAAACCTGTACACCTGTCTTGTAACATTTATTACCTCTTGGTTAAGATTTTAATTTGATATATTGTTGTCACTTCTCAATTATTTATGTGAAGCCTGACATAAATCACATTGATAACTGACATATCTGAATGACATTAATTTGGTCGCAGCTGAAATTCATGCCATTTACATGAATATACTGCGAATTAAAAAATGACCGAATTACATAGAAGCGTCCAAGTGATTCGGGTCTCGTTTTATTGGTTCATTTAGCAATTTGATTGTTTACTATTCACAAAGTGCTGAATAGCAGTCTGTCCAAATACAGAGGCAAAATGCTATTAAATTCCTCCTTGGGACCAGAAAGGCAGCTCCCGGGACCCAAACCCAATATCAAGAGTTATTCACTAAAGGGAGAGTGTCTGGGGATTCGAAGTGAATTACAAAATTTAGACTGAAATAGCTGAATTAGAAACATTCTTTGAGACAGTTCTGTTTTGTTCGGCTGTTTATGTCTTCACTCTGAATTCCTGCTAGTTCTCTTTAGTAAATATTTCTGTCTTAGTTGAATTTCCACATTCCACCTGCGGTTAACGAAATCCTACAGTGTCAGGAAAACAAACCCATTTTCCTGGCACTATAGAGTTAATAGGTCCCCCCTCCCTCGGCGCTGAACTCCTGCCCTGCCGACGTCAGCTCCCGAGTGGAGCCGCGCGCGCATTCAAACAGCCCATAGGAAAGCATTACTTAATGTTTTCTTATGGACGTCCAACGTGAGTACAATGCGATTTTCACACTGAGAATCGCAGAAACGGCCTCTAGTGGCTGTCAGAGGCTGGATTAACTCTGCAATGTAAACATAGCAGTTTCTCTGCTGCAGGGCTAAAACTAGGGGACCTGGCACCCAGACCACTTCATTGAGCTGAAGTGGTCTGGGTGCCTATAGTGGTTGTGACGGATCTTCCTGTACCCCGGTTTGGTACCTCCACCGACAGATGCTCCTAGTGCTTACCAAGGGCTCCAAGCACTTCTAAGTACTGCAGACCCCACGAACCGCCGCAGCTTGGTTGGGGTCTCGCCGTCTCCTACCCACCCTGGATCCATGACAAGGCTCCAGGTTCTAGTGGGTGAACCTCTCTTCCTCCTGAGAGTGAAATAGAAACAGCTCTTACAAGAGCTAGTGATTATCCAAGGAAGTATAGTGATTATTGCAATCCCTTGTAGCAGTTTCCCCCAATAAGAGACAAGAATCTAGATTGAGGGTAAAATAAGAATTGAAGGTTTAATGGTACAGTTGCTCTTTTATACAGTATTTCCCCACACTGTTACCGCCCAGGTGGACCTTGTGGGGCACAGGACATGAAATTCACAATCCAATAAAAACAGAGTTTTACATTCAGTCACTCCCATACAGTGTGCACAATCCCTCCCCTCTGCCTGTGATACAATTAACGAAGACAATGGACTAACTCAAACAGAAAAAAAACATACATTTTTACAAACCCCAAAAAGTACCCCAAAATACAACATATCTCCTCATCCCATGATAGCCCCGATCTGGGTGAACAACATATCCAAAAATCATCCAGATCGGTTCAGGGGTTCAGGAATTTCCTGGAAGTCTTATTTTTGCCGCACCATGCACATGGTCCCATGCCCAAAACAGTTCCATACACTCGACGGCAAAACCCTGCTGGACAATTTAAGATGGCCACCGCCGCCACCACATGTTTGAATCTGTTCCAGTTAAAAGTCCAAAGGGCAGAAACAGTGCTTTTGAACATCACAGGGCCCATAGTCCCAGGGTAGGAGGCTGGCAAGCAGCCCCCTCCAAAAACTAATGGCAAACTAAAAAGGTCTTTTAATCTGACCTGGGTCTGGCCTTGCAGCTCTGGTAGCCCAGAGGGTTCCACTGCTAACGTGAGCTCTATCTGTATCTGCTGACAAACACCTCCAATATTACATCAGGCTCACATCATGAGGGTGTAAAACCTTCTTCATTCAGAGACGGCGTAAACCAGCGTTCTATCGTTCTGGGTGGGGGAGACATTAATAGATAAACACTGCGCAAGCCCATATAGTCTGTGTATCGCAAATCACATAACCATCCCAACCATTCTGCAATACTTACACTCTGTTACCCTTTAGCTCTTCCACTGTGAGGCTATTCCAGGCTATTCTATATCCCCGGTATCTACTACCCTTTCTATATCACTGTTACCGCTCCCACTGGAAGGCTATTCCAGGTATCTACTACCCTTTCTATATCACTGTTACTGCTCCCAGTGGAAGGCTATTCCAGGTATCTACTACCCTTTATATATCACTGTTACTGCTCCCACTGGAAGGCTATTCCAGGTATCTACTACCCTTTCTATATCACTGTTACCGCTCCCACTGGAAGGCTATTCCAGGTATCTACTACCCTTTCTATATCACTGTTACCGCTCCCACTGGAAGGCTATTCCAGGTGTCTACTACCCTTTCTATATCACTGTTACTGCTCCCACTGGAAGGCTATTCCAGGTATCTACTACCCTTTCTATATCACTGTTACTGCTCCCACTGGAAGGCTATTCCAGGTATCTACTACCCTTTCTATATCACTGTTACCGCTCCCACTGGGAGGCTATTCCAGGTATCTACTACCCTTTCTATATCTGTTACTGCTTGGAAGGCTGCTACCCATATCACTGTTACTGCTCCCACTGGAAGGCTATTCCAGGTATCTATTACCCTTTCTATATCACTGTTACTGCTCCCACTGGAAGGCTATTCCAGGTATCTACTACCCTTTCTATATCACTGTTACCGCTCCCACTGGAAGGCTATCCCTGGTATCTACTACCCTTTCTATATCACTGTTACCGCTCCCACTGGAAAGCTATTCCAGGTATCTACTACCCTTTCTATATCACTGTTACCGCTCCCACTGGAAGGCTATTCCAGGTATCTACTACCCTTTCTATATCACTGTTACCGCTCCCACTGGAAGGCTATCCCAGGTATCTACTACCCTTTCTATATCACTGTTACCGCTCCCACTGGAAGGCTATTCCAGGTATCTACTACCCTTTCTATATCACTGTTACTGCTCCTACTCATAGGCGTGTGCCTAGGCACCCTCTAATCCCTGTGGCATGCCTATGGATTGAGACCGGCAGGGGAGATCTCAGAATGTCCCCTGTCGGCTCATGCAGAGCCGGCACTATCCAAGCACCGGCTCTGCTCTAAGCCTTCATGGGCCGGTGGGGAGATCAAAGATCTACTTCACCGGCCCACAGCAGCATGGAGGGAGGCAGGAGAGGACCCAGGGAGCTCTAGCCAGCAGCTCCGCCAGGTTCCTCTTGCGAGAGCTGAGCGTTGCCGTGGCAACGCTCCAATCTCGCGAGAGTGAACTCTAGCCCCACAGGCTAGATTTCACTTTCCACGGGACCACCAGGGATGGCACAGGGCAGCAAGGATCCCCCCTCCCTACATAAGGTAATAAGGGAGGGGGGATATTTACTAATCTGCCCCCACCTTCACCCCCATAATCCCTCCAAACATACAGTGTACACACACACATACAGCACACAAACAGAACCTACAGACCTACAGCACCCTCACACACACAGCACACAAACACCCTCACCCACATAGCACACAAACAGCACCCTCACACACATAGCACACAAACATCACCCACACACCGCATACTAACAGGACCCTAACAAACACACACACAAATACCCTCACACACAGCACACTCACAGCACGCTCACAAACACCCTCACCCACATAGCACACTACAAGAACCCTCACACACACATCACACACCCTCACACAGCACACTAACAGCGCGCACACACACACACACACACACACACACAACAGTGTATGTATGTGTGTGTGTGTGTGTGTGTATGTTTTTTTTATATATACATACATACACGCGGCGTGTGTTAGTGCTTTAGGGGGCACACCCTAATGCAATAGGCTGCGCACGCCTATGCTCCTACTGGTAGGCTATTCCAGGTATCTACTACCATTTAAATATCACCAGTAGTCTTTATTGCTTCCACTGGAAGGCGTATCTACTACTCTTTCAGTATAGTGAAATTTCTGTTGTAGATCAGCTTTATGGGTGAAATTATACAGATCCTTTCAAATAATGGTATTTGCCCCATCTCTATCAGCCTATGATTGCCTTCCAAATTCAGACAGGCTCATGTGATGTCCAAATTTAGCCTTGGATCACAATTTCTTTACACACACCAGGGGTACAACATTCACAAAGTCCTTACACCATAACCACTAAGCTATAATTCTGTTTCTGCCTTTCCCAGAATATTATGTCATTCTCGCCCCCACTAGGTTAGTGGAACTCTTTCTATAGAAATTATCTGAAACTGATGGGAACCTCATTCTCCAGAACTGGACACATCATGTCAGAATTAATGTTACATAAATCATAATAAATGTTTGTGCTGACTGCTCACAGTGTGATATTTAATGGGGGGTGGGGGGATTCCAAATCTTAAAGCGATCTGGGTCATAAACTGCGTGACATTGATTTTTCTTCCATATTTTTGTGTTTCTATTTCTTTATTGTGTTTTCCATTGAAATGACTTAAAAATACAAAGTCTGTGTTTCTAATAAAAATAAATGTGTCCACCTAACGAGCCAATGCCAGGTAAGAATTCATTCCCTTGAAATGGAGCCTCGCTGGTTCTGAATACGCCATAAGTTCTCGCTGGTTCTAAACACACCATGAGTTCTCGCTGGTTCTGAATACCCCATAAGTTCTTGCTGGTTCTGAATACGCCATAAGTTATTGCTGGTTGTGAATTACGCCATAAGTTCTCGCTGGTTTTGAATTACGCCATAAGTTCTCGCTGGTTTTGAATTACGCCATAAGTTCTCACTGGTTATGAATTACGCCATAAGTTCTCGCTGGTTGTGAATTACGCCATAAGTTCTCGCTGGTTTTGAATTACGCCATAAGTTCTCGCTGGTTTTTAATTACGCCATAAGTTCTCGCTGGTTGTGAATTACGCCATAAGTTCTCGCTGGTTGTGAATTACGCCATAAGTTCTCGCTGGTTGTGAATTACGCCATAAGTTCTCGCTGGTTTTGAATTACGCCATAAGTTCTCGCTGGTAGTGAATTATGTCATAAGTTCTCGCTGGTAGTGAATTACGCCATAAGTTCTCGCTGGTAGTGAATTACGCCATAAGTTCTCGCTGGTAGTGAATTACGCCATAAGTTCTCGCTGGTTTTGAATTACGCCATAAGTTCTCGCTGGTTGTGAATTACGCCATAAGTTCTCGCTGGTTTTGAATTACGCCATAAGTTCTTGCTGGTTGTGAATTACGCCATAAGTTCTCGCTGGTTTTTAATTACGCCATAAGTTCTCGCTGGTTTTGAATTACGCCATAAGTTCTCGCTGGTTGTGAATTACGCCATAAGTTCTTGCTGGTTTTGAATTACGCCATAAGTTCTTGCTGGTTTTGAATTACGCCATAAGTTCTCGCTGGTTTTTAATTACGCCATAAGTTCTCGCTGGTTTTGAATTACGCCATAAGTTCTCGCTGGTTGTGAATTACGCCATAAGTTCTCGCTGGTTGTGAATTACGCCATAAGTTCTCGCTGGTTGTGAATTACGCCATAAGTTCTTGCTGGTTGTGAATTAAGCCATAAGTTCTCGCTGGTTTTGAATTACGCCATAAGTTCTTGCTGGTTGTGAATTACGCCATAAGTTCTTGCTGGTTATGAATTACGCCATAAGTTCTTGCTGGTTATGAATTACGCCATAAGTTCTCGCTGGTAGTGAATTACGTCATAAGTTCTCGCTGGTTCTAAACACACCATAAGTTCTCGGTTCTGGCTGGTTCTAAACACACCATAAGTTTTCGCTGGTTCTAAACACAACATAAGTTCACGCTGGTTCTGAATAACGTTCTCACTGGTTTGCTGGTTATGAATACGCCATAAGTTCTCGCTGGTTCTGAATACGCCATAAATTCTTGCTGGTTCTGATCACACCATAAGTTTTCGCTGGTTCTAAACACAACATAAGTTTTCGCTGGTTCTAAACACAACATAAGTTCACGCTGGTTCTGAATAACGTTCTCACTGGTTTGCTGGTTATGAATACGCCATAAGTTCTCACTGGTTCTAAACACACCATAAGTTCTCGCTGGTTCTGAATACGCCATAAATTCTTGCTGGTTCTGATCACACCATAAGTTGTGTGTTAAATTCACCTCCCCAGGCACAACGAGGGGAACGCTTAACTCTTCAGACAAAGGCTTGCAGGGGAATCGGAGTTCACTTGGCGACGATTTCTGACGGGACACAATGAATTTACTGTAATGGGATTCCCACAAGCCGGCATTGTTTGAAGAAAAAAAAAAAAATTAAGTTTCAAGACCTATTTAGTTTTAAGAAAAGGACTTTGTGGAGTGGAGCGAGGTTTTGGGGTCAATGCTGACTCAGCGAGGAGGACCAAGCTGATTCATTGCCCCTTTTATATTGTTCACTGAAATTCTCTCCCCTCCTGTACATTATTCACAGAGGAACTCTCTGCCAGACTCAGCAAGACAGCCCTTACTGATTTAACTAAGTAAACTTTCCTTTAAACTACTAACCAACGTATAATGTAAGATCTTACTGGGGATCTATAAAGAATTATCGCTATCTCTCTATGTCCTCCTGGGATCTGCTCTATAGAACTGAACACAATACTCTAGGAGAGATCTTACCATGGATCTATAAAGTACTATCACTACCTCTCTATGTCCTCCTGGGATCTGCTCTATAGAACTGAGCACAATACTCTAGGTGAGATCTTACCGGGATCTATAAAGTGCTATCACTACCTCTCTATATCCTCCTGGGATCTGCTCTATAGAACTGAACACAATACTCTAGGTGAGATCTTACCGGGGATCTATAAAGTACTATCACTACCTCTCTATGTCCTGGGATCTGCTCTATAGAACTGAACACAATACTCTAGGTGAGATCTTACCGGGGATCTATAAAGTACTATCACTACCTCTCTGTGTCCTCCTGGGATCTGCTCTATAGAACTGAACACAATACTCTAGGTGAGATCTTACCGGGATCTATAAAGTGCTATCACTACCTCTCTATATCCTCCTGGGATCTGCTCTATAGAACTGAACACAATACTCTAGGTGAGATCTTACCAGGGATCTATAAAGTACTATCACTATCTCTCTATGTCCTCCTGGGATCTGCTCTATTGAACTGAACACAATACTCTAGGTGAGATCTTACCGGGGATCTATAGAGTACTATCACTACCTCTCTATGTTCTGGGATCTGCTCTATAGAACTGAACACAATACTCTAGGTGAGATCTTACCGGGGATCTATAAAGTACTATCACTACCTCTCTATGTCCTCCTGGGATCTGCTCTATAGAACTGAACACAATACTCTAGGTGTGGTCTTACTATGGATCTATAAAGTACTATCACACCTCTCTATGTCCTCCTGGGATCTGCTCTATAGAACTGAACACAATACTCTAGGTGAGATCTTACCGGGGATCTATAAAGTACTATCACACCTCTCTATGTCCTCCTGGGATCTGCTCTATAGAACTGAACACAATACTCTAGGTGAGATCTTACCGGGATCTATGAAGTACTATCACACCTCTCTATGTCCTCCTGGGATCTGCTCTACAGAACTGAACACAATACTCTAGGTGAGATCTTACCAGGGATCTATGAAGTACTATCACTACCTCTCTATGTCCTCCTGGGATCTGCTCTATAGAACTGAACACAATACTCTAGGTGAGATCTTACTGGGGATCTATAAAGTGCTATCACTACCTCTCTATGTCCTCCTGGGATCTGCTCTATAGAACTGAACACAATACTCTAGGTGAGATCTTACCGGGATCTATAAAGTACTATCACTACCTCTCTATGTCCTGGGATCTGCTCTATAGAACTGAACACAATACTCTAGGTGAGATCTTACCGGGGATCTATAAAGTACTATCACTACCTCTCTATGTCCACCTGGGATCTGCTCTATAGAATTGAACACAATACTCTAGGTGAGATCTTACCGGGGATCTATAAAGTGCTATCACTACCTCTCTATGTCCTCCTGGAATCTGCTCTACAGAACTGAACACAGTACTCATAGTGCAGCCAGGGGGCGCTGTGATTGTGCTCATAACAAGCTCTTTAAATCTGTTTTATTTAACTTGCCATGACATGTTTATTCCCTAAGAAGAGGACCCAGTCTCCATTAGCCATTGGACTATCAGGGTTTGAGCGATGCTATTGCAATGAACAGGTTAAATGAGCTCGGCAGCAGCCAATTCAACCCTCCTCCCTGCCATTTAAAGCAGCGGCTATTACCACAAACACCAAGGAGGTGAGTCACTCCATACACACCCAGCCATGAGCACAGCCTGGCCTTAGCATGATCTCTGGTTTCTCCTGTCTCAGCTGCTGCATTCCTCCTGGAATATCGTTTAACCCTCCATTGACTCCTTGAGGTTAATAAGCAGAGAGAGAGTGAGCTCAGCTGTTGACTGGCGCCTGCCATCAGCGAACCCTCTCTGCGCCTGGAGCAGCCCAATCTGGCTCTCAAAGGGTTAAACTTGCCGTCAGGGTTATGCACTAACCTGCAAATTGTTGAGGAATCAAAGTGAATTTTGGAGTTTAGGCTACCATGCGAAACTGGAAGAGGACTCCAAGTCAGCGACGTTCTCACCTTAATTGCTAAACTGTGAATTCATGTTTAATTTTGGACAATTTATACTTTAGTTAATATCCCCGGTATTATACACTGCTCAAAAAAATAAAGGGAACACAAAAATAACACATCCTAGATCTGAATTAATGAAATATTCTTCTGAAATACTTTGTTCTTTACATAGTTGAATGTGCAGACAAAAAAGTTTTAAAATGGAAATTAGATTTTTCAACCCATGGAGGTCTGGATTTGGAGTCACACTCCAAAGTGGAAAAACACACTACAGGCTGATCCAACTTTGATGTAATGTCCTGAAAACAAGTCAAAATGAGGCTCAGTAGTGTGTGTGGCCTCCACGTGCCTGTATGACCTCCCTACAATGCCTGTGCATGCTCCTGATGAGGTGGTGGATGGTCTCCTGAGGGATCTCCTCACAGACCTGTACTAAAGCATCTACCAACTCCTGGACAGTCTGTGGTGCAACGTGATGTTGGTGGATGGAGCGAGACATGATGTCCCAGATGTGCTCAATTGGATTCAGGTCTGGGGAACGGGCGGGCCAGTCCATAGCATCAATGCCTTTGTCTTGCAGGTACTGCTGACACACTCCAGCCACATGAGGTCTAACATTGTCTTGCATTAGGTGGAACCCAGGGCCAACCGCACCAGCATATGGTATCACAAGGGGTCTGAGGATATCTCGGTACCTAACGGCAGTCAAGCTACCTCTGGCGAGCACATGGAGGACTGTGCGGCCCCCCAAAGAAATGCCACCCCACACCATTACTGACCCACTGCCAAACCGGTCATTCTGGAGGATGTTGCAGGCAGCAGAACGTTCTCCACTGCGTCTCCAGACTGTCACGTCTGTCACATGTGCTCAGTGTGAACCTGCTTTCATCTGTGAAGAGCACAGGGCGCCAGTGGCGAATTTGCCAATCTTGGTGTTCTCTGGCAAATGCCAAACGTCCTGCACGGTGTTGGGCTGTAAGCACAATCCCCACCTGTGGACGTCGGGCCCTCATACCACCCTCATGGAGTCTGTTTCTGACCGCTTGAGCAGACACATGCACATTTGTGGCCTGCTGGAGGTCATTTTGCAGGGCTCTGGCAGTGCTCCTCCTGTTCCTCCTTGCACAAAGGCAGAGGTAGCGGTCCTGCTGCTGGGTTATTGCCCTCCTATGGCCTCCTTCACGTCTCCTGATGTATTGGCCTGTTTCCTGGTAGCGCCTCCATGCTCTGGACACTACGATGACAGACACAGCAAACCTTACCATATCTCTAATTGATGTGCCATCCTGGATGAGCTGCACTACCTGAGCCACTTGTGTGGGTTGTAGACTCCGTCTCATGCTACCACTAGAGTGAAAGCACCGCCAGCATTCAAAAGTCACCAAAACATCAGCCAGGAAGCAAAGGAACTGAGAAGTGGTCTGTGGTCACCACCTGCAGAACCATTCCTTTATTGTGGGTGTCTTGCTAATTGCCAATAATTTTCACCTGTTGTCTATCCCATTTGCAATGCTGGCACAGACGGGCGACAACCGTTACTAAATCACAGCTATAAAATGCACATAGCGCGGGTCAGCAGTATAATCGGCTAGAAGCCAGCCATTAAATAGGAAAGCCGCTCACAATAGGGAAACAACCAAACCCCACTCGTCTAGGAAAAATAGATCATTTTATTTCCATGGGAGATTATTACGGCTTTATGCCCTCGCTGTGCTGGTGAGCTGAAAATCAAAATTTGAAAAGAATTGCTGGGTTGGACAATTTTCTTCTCCCAGAATTTGGTGATTGATTCACCACAATTGCGTGTTTGGTGAATAATTCCACTGACACAAATAGATCATTTTGTGAAGCTCAGACGCACAGAGTGATATCCTGATATAGCCAACACAGGGCTGTGGGAGGACTTATTCATACGTATAAACATATACATGGGGATAAAACAACCACTTTCTATTCTCTTATAAAACTTCCCAAATATTACTACTACGTTTTTACCTTGCAACAATTTGTAATTTACAAACAAAGTGAATTTTAAATGTGACGCCAACATGGCGACCTAAAAGCAAAGCTGAATTGGAGAATTTTTCCACATTGTCTGTTTTGGACTAACATTTTGAATTAATCTTGATGCCACTTTGAATTCACAGTGAATATTGATTTTAGGACCATGAGATCAGACTGCGGCAGAATACATAGTTACATTGCTACTTAGGAAAAAAAAGAGTCCAACCTTTCAGAGACATCTCTGTATGCTGTTTATAAGAAGAAAGAAAAAAGTATAAATAAATCCCAATATAATGCATTAGACAATATTTCCTCCCCCCCGAAAGAATAGAAAATACTTATTGTCACAATCATAGCAATCAGGGTTCTCCTTGGATCGATACGCTCTTCACATACATATTAATTACTATCTTTAATATTCTGATTTTCAAAAAAACCATCCAGGCCATTTTTTAAAGAAATATCTATAGAATTTGATAAGAAAAGCTCTTTCAGTAGCGAATTCCGCATGTTTACTGTTCTTACTGTAAAGAACCCTTCCCTCCGAAGTGATACGATGAGTCTCAATACTGAGTGAAATCAATGTCACGATATGTCACATTGTAAAATCATATCATTTGGATCAATTCATATCATTCTTAAAGGGACACTGTTTTTTTGTGTATTGATGCCTTCTCCTCTCTGTGACAGTGTAATAGATTGCTATCATTGTCAGTAGATCCTAATAACTCTCTCTGAGAAACCTCAGATTGTCAGATCATGGCGGCTGACGCCCATCTGTCCGGATCATCTCATAAGAGGGGAACAAATTCTACAGGGAGACTGTCCCGACTCTGGATTACAGGTAAATCTAATGGATTTTAAAAAATATATATCATTTTGTTCTCTAAAAAGAGATATGACTTCATAGGGACACTCTAAGCTCAACATAAATAGATTTATTTTTATCCTTCGAGCGTTACTTTCACTATAAATTGTTATTTGAATCATATATTATTATATCATACTATTTATCCTACAAATAAGACAGAGTGATGAGAACATCGAGTGACAAATTGCTAAAGTTTATTAATCATTTTGTGATTTTAATAAACAGTCACATCGTATCTTTTACAGAATTGGTCCATAATTTCCCTTTTTCTACTCAATGATTACACCAATATCCCAATTCTCAGCAATTCCCAGTTTAGTAAATAACTCTATGTTTTCAGATTTCTACACACCTTTTCCTTGATCAACGCATGAAACGTTCTCCTTATTGTGAAATGTTCTGATAAATTGAGAGAAATGTAAAGTTATTTCACCCAGCCAGGTTTTATCTGTGCTGTGAGCAAAGCCGCCACAATTTAATTCACTGATTTATTTAATGTCGCTATTTCCAACTTCAGTAATTCAATCCAAAATATTTTGCGCAAATACGTCTAGGAATTCTGAGAAAGCTGAGAAATGGTTCGGAGATTTCTATATGAAGCAGTACGGTGATTAGACATTCTGTTGGTAATTATGGACAACTAAATAAAATAACTAAACTGCCAGTGTTCCCCACCTCAAACGTTCACAATCCCCCTATATAACAAAAGAATTGTCCATCTTCCCTATTAATCCCCTACATTAGGCCACATTTTGCCAGATATTACAAGTGATTGTTCTACTAAAGCCCTTATAGTGTCTGATGTCATTTAAAATCTGAAAACGATGTCTCTATTCTCTAGAACTGTGAATTCGGTTTGACCCAAATTGTAGTTCGTCTAAATCTCTTGTGGGGTGGTAAGTGTAAGCCGTCTTGGGAATTAGAGGGACTCCCTGCTCTGCTGCGTATATTTCCTGGAACATAGAAGAACGCAGCAGAGCAGGGAATCCCTTAACTCCTCACTTACCGACCATTTTGTTCTATGACCGGGTCGGTAAGTGAGGAGTGTCTGTGTATATATATATATATATAGCTTTTTTTTTTTCCACTTATCCTCCTGGTTTCCCTACTTTTCCTCACTTGGTCTGTGAACTAAATAGTTGGATATTGTTCCTATCAGTGTACTGCACAATATATAAATATTATTTATATATCCACATTTGAATTATACATCATGTTTATAATTTCTATATTATGTATTAATTATGCAGTGCGATAATTGGCCTGTTTTCACCTGAAATTGTTTTCCAAATAATTTTCCTGGATGATATTTGGATGAGCAGAACCATCAGCTGATTATGTGTCGGGGATTCCGAACTAAATTTCATTTTTAGAAAACTTGTTTTGGTCGAATCAAATTTTTCCGCACGGCATAAATGTACTATGAGTACACCCTCGAATGGTTCACCGATTTTAATGACTGGTAAAAACAGGGGGGTACTTATTTCTCATTTACAATTATTACTATTATTTCACCAATAATGGAAAGATATGGGAATCATTCTAACAGGTAAAATGGTTCTCAGGAGAAAGCGCAACGTCCAGCCGCCTGTTGTCTATTGTGGTTCCTTAATGGCGTTTCGCAGGCGCACACGTAATGAGATTGTGATTTTACTGATGTCATTTTAATGTGGAATGTTTTGCTGTTTTGTGTTTGATTGATTAGAGCAGGAGTTTCTGTCCCAGGCTACGTTAACAAGATTTTAAGCCAAAAGAATCGATTTTTCCCATCTCCCTGTTACTTAACAGAGCTCTTATCTGTCCGTTCTGTAAGTGATATTAATTTCGTTTTACGAGATGGCCGCCAGTGATCCACAAGTTTATAACAGTCTACGTAGGTAACTAGCACATGGACGAGTGAAGCACATCTGTGATATTAGGAGATTTACCCACTAAACAGTGAACTGGGTCAATATCTAAACATTTTATTCCATTTCACACACAGCAGTATTGGCTGACGCTGGCACTTGGCGTGTTCGCAAATTACATTCACCCTAAAGCTTAGATTATTTAAATTGCACATTTTCCCATATTTTTAAATTACGACATCTTTTAATTGTGTCAGAGTTCCACTAAAAGTTAAAGTCTGAAAACCCTGAAGGGACTACGACGCTTTAATTGCATGAATGATGGAGGAAGCTGCAAACATTTGCTATTTTAGAGCCGGGACCTTGTTTTCTCTGACAAAAAAAAAACTAAAAATGTGATGTCTGTATTCTCATTACTAATTTGTTACGAAAACTCTGCGTAACCAAAAACTGTGAGTATTTTTTTTTTTTTTAGTTCCCATGTTTAATGTTATTTCTGAAGGAGCGAAAGATATAAAAAGTCTTCAGAAAGAAAAAGATGTGAGATGTACCAAGAAAGGACCGTCCACGACACAGCAATATGCCCCCCCGCACCCCAATGTTCATTGTATATAAATAAAGCTTGTTGAAAAACAGGCTGCCATGTCCCCCTAGTCCCTATAGAGGGTCCGCTATGCCCAGCGCTCTCTGTGTAATCATTGGCCATAAACTCATGGCTTCCTGTTCCGCTGCGGAGACATCATAACTGTGACTCGATTAACTGCATCTCCGTCAGTCCACGGTCATTTACTGCAACCAAAACGTAAAAACACCTTAAAGGGACAGTTACATCTAATGACACGGAATCCCTTTGTTTATGTTATGTCGGAGTTGCATTAAATCCTAAATGGCCATAGCAACCAATAGAATCTAGGAAAATCAAACACTTTGGGCAGGAATTGTCCCAGTTTGGTGTTAATAAATATGGCTCTATTACTGTGACATTATTCAGCCCTTTACTAGCAAATCTCCTTCTTCAAAGACTATTTAGGAGACTAAATCTGAGAATTAATCTACGCCTGGGTGGGACAAACCTTTTCATACAATCTGTATGACAGCCTGCCTGCCATAGCTGTGGATGCAACGGATAGATTATAGTTCAGAGAGCAGTAAGTCTGTCTGATGGTTTAGATTATTACAGCCTCACATAGCAGAATAGGCTAATAGCTTGCAGTAACTTTATAATGGATCTACTGTCCATTTAATGGCAAAATTATAACCATATCTTACAGCACCTTACTCATACTTACATATATTTACTCATGCTCAGCCTGGCCTCTCTATGGCTCAACAGATCTGTTCATCAGGCTATTATGCAGCTTCCAAGCTTCTAATTGTCTATATCACTCCACTGGAAGGCTATTCCAGGTATCTACTACCCTTTCTATATCACTGTTACTGCTCCTACTGGAAGGCTATTCCAGGTATCTACTACCCTCTCTATATCACTGTTACTGCTCCCACTGGAAGGCTATTCCAGGTATCTACTACCCTTTCTGTATCACTGTTACTGCTGCCACTGTGATGCTATTCCATGTATCTACTACCCTTTCTATATTGCTGTTCCCGCACCCACTGGAAGTCTATGCCAAGTATCTACTACATTTTCTATATTGCTGTTACCGCTTCCACTGGAAGGCTATTCCAGGTATCTACTACCCTTTCTATATCACTGTTACTGCTCCTACTGGAAGGCTATTCCAGGTATCTACTACCCTCTCTATATCACTGTTACTGCTCCCACTGGAAGGCTATTCCAGGTATCTACTACCCTTTCTGTATCACTGTTACTGCTGCCACTGTGATGCTATTCCATGTATCTACTACCCTTTCTATATTGCTGTTCCCGCACCCACTGGAAGTCTATGCCAAGTATCTACTAAATTTTCTATATTGCTGTTACCGCTTCCACTGGAAGGCTATTCCAGGTATCTACTACCCTTTCTATATCACTGTTACTGCTCCCACTGGAAGGCTATTCCAGGTATCTACTACCTTTTGTATGTCACTGTTACTGCTCCCACTGGAAGTCTATGCCAAGTATCTACTACATTTTCTATATTGCTGTTACCGCTTCCACTGGAAGGCTATTCCAGGTATCTACTACCCTTTCTATATCACTGTTAGCTTTTGCTGCTCCCACTGGAAGGCTATTCCAGGTATCTACTACCCTTTCTATATCACTGTTACTGCTCCCACTGGAGGGCTATTCCAGGTATCTACTACCTTTTGTATATCACTGTTACTGCTCCCACTGGAAGGCTATTCCAGGTATCTACTACCCTTTCTATATCACTGTTACAGATCCCACTGGAAGGCTATTCAAGGTATCTACAACCCTTTCTATATCACTGTGACCGTTCACACTGGAAGGCTATTCCAGGTATCTACTACCCTTTCTATATTGCTGTTACCGCTCCCAGTGGAAGGCCATTCCAGGTATCTACTACCCTTTCTATATCACTGTTAGCTTTTACTGCTCCCACTGGAAGGCTATTCCAGGTATTTACTACCCTTTCCATATCACTGTTACCGCTCCCACTGGAAGGCTATTCCAGGTATCTACTACCCTTTCTATATCACTGTTACTGCTCCCACTGGAAGGCTATTCCAGGTATCTACTACCCTTTCTATATCACTGTTACTGCTCCCACTGGAAGGCTATTCCAGGTATCTACTACCTTTTCTATATCACTGTTACTGCTCCCACTGGAAGGCTATTCCAGGTATCTACTACCCTTTCTGTATCACTGTTACTGCTCCCACTGGAAGGCTATTCCAGGTATCTACTACCCTTTCTATATCACTGTTACTGCTCCCACTGGAAGGCTATTCCAGGTATCTACTACCCTTTCTATATCACTCTTACTGCTCCCACTGGAAGGCTATTCCAGGTATCTACTACCCTTTCTATATCACTGTTACTGCTCCCACTGGAAGGCTATTCCAGGCATCTACTGCCCTTTCTATATCACTGTTACTGCTCCCACTGGAAGGCTATTCCAGGTATCTACTACCCTTTCTATATCACTGTTACTGCTCCCACTGTTTGTTCAGTCTACTGCCGCTTTCACCATATCACTGTTACTGCTACCACTGGAAGGGTGTTCCAGGTATCTACTACCCTTTCTATATCACTGTTACTGCTTCCACTGGAAGGCTATTTCAGGTATCTACTACCCTTTCTATATCACTGTTACTCCTCCCACTGGAAGGGTGTTCCAGGTATCTACTATCCTTTCTATATCACTGTTACTGCTCCCACTGGAAGGCTATTCCATGTATCTACTAACCTTTCTATATCACTGTTACCACTTCCACTGGAAGTCTATTCCAGGTATCTACTATCCTTTCTATATCACTGTTACTGCTTCCACTGGAAGTCTATTCCAGGTATCTACTACCCTTTCTATATCACTGTTACTCCTCCCACTTGAAGGCTATTCCAGGTATCTGCCACCCTTTCTATATCACTGTTACTGCACCCACTGGAAGGCTATTCCAGGTATCTACTACCCTTTCCAAATCACCGTTAGCTTTTACTGCTCCCACTGGAAGGCTATTCCAAGTATCTACTACCTTTTCTATATCACTGTTACCGCTCCAACTGGAAGGCTATTCCAGGTATCTACTACCCTCTCTATATCGCTGTTACCGCTCCCATTTGAAAGCTATTCCAGGTATCTACTACCCTTTCTATATCGCTGTTACCGCTCCCACTGGAAGGCTATTCCATGTATCTACTACCCTTTTTATATCACTGTGACTGCTACCACTGGAAGGCTATTCCAGGTATCTACTACCCTTTCTATATTGCTGTTACCGCTCCCAGTGGAAGGCCATTCCAGGTATCTACTACCCTTTCTATATCGCTGTTACCGCTCCCACTGGAAGGCTATTCCAGGTATCTACTACCTTTTCTATATCACTGTTACCGCTCCAACTGGAAGGCTATTCCAGGTATCTACTACCCTCTCTATATCGCTGTTACCGCTCCCATTTGAAAGCTATTCCAGGTATCTACTACCCTTTCTATATCGCTGTTACCGCTCCCACTGGAAGGCTATTCCATGTATCTACTACCTTTTTTATATCACTGTGACTGCTCCCACTGGAAGGCTATTCCAGGTATCTACTACCCTTTCTATATCACTGTTATCGCCGCTCCCACTGGAAGGCTATTTCAGATATCTACTACCCTTTCCATATCACTGTTACAGCTCCCAGTGGAAGGCCATTCCAGGTATCTACTACCCTTTCTATATCACTGTTACTGCTTTCACTGGAAGGCTATTCCAGGTATCTACTACCCTTTCTATATCACTGTTACAGATCCCACTGGAAGGCTATTCCAGGTATCTACTACCCTTTCTATATCACTGTGACCGTTCACACTGGAAGGCTATTCCAGGTATCTACTACCCTTTCTATATTGCTGTTACCGCTCCCACTGGAAGGCCATTCCAGGTATCTACTAACCTTTCTATATCGCTGTTACCGCTCCCACTGGAAGGCTATTCCAGGTATCTACTACCTTTTCTATATCGCTGTTACCGCTCCCATTGGAAGGCTATTCCAAGTATCTACTACCTTTTCTATATCACTGTTACCGCTCCCACTGGAAGGCTATTCCAGGTATCTACTAACCTCTCTATATCGCTGTTACCGCTCCCATTTGAAAGCTATTCCAGGTATCTACTACCCTTTCTATATCGCTGTTACCTCTCCCACTGGAAGGCTATTCCATGTATCTACTACCCTTTCTATATCACTGTGACTGCTCCCACTGGAAGGCTATTCCAGGTATCTACTACCCTTTCTGTATCACTGTTACCGCCGCTCCCACTGGAAGGCTATTTCAGATATCTACTACCCTTTCTATATCACTGTTACTGCTTCCACTGGAAGGCTATTCCAGGTATCTACTACCCTTTCTATATCGTTGTTACCGCTCCCACTGGAAGGCTATTCCAGGTATCTACTACCTTTTCTATATCGCTGTTACAGCTCCCATTGGAAGGCTATTCCAAGTATCTACTACCTTTTCTATATCACTGTTACCGCTCCCACTGGAAGGCTATTCCAGGTATCTACTAACCTCTCTATATCGCTGTTACCGCTCCCATTTGAAAGCTATTCCAGGTATCTACTACCCTTTCTATATCGCTGTTACCGCTCCCACTGGAAGGCTATTCCATGTATCTACTACCCTTTCTATATCACTGTGACTGCTGCCACTGGAAGGCTATTCCAGGTATCTACTACCCTTTCTGTATCACTGTTACCGCCGCTCCCACTGGAAGGCTATTTCAGATATCTACTACCCTTTCTATATCACTGTTACTGCTTCCACTGGATGGCTATTCCAGGTATCTACTACCCTTTCTATATCACTGTTACTGCTACCACTGGAAGGGTGTTCCAGGTATCTACTACCCTTTCTATATCACTGTTACTGATTCCACTGGAAGGCTATTCCAGGTATCTACTACCCTTTCTATATCACTGTTACTCCTCCCACTGGAAGGGTGTTCCAGGTATCTACTACCCTTTCTATATCACTGTTACTGATTCCACTGGAAGGCTATTCCAGGTATCTACTACCCTTTCTATATCACTGTTACTGCTCCCACTGGAAGGCTATTCCAGGTATCTACTACCCTTTCTATATCACTGTTACCGCTTCCACTGGAAGTCTATTCCAGGTATCTACTATCCTTTCTATATCACTGTTACCGCTTCCACTGGAAGGCTATTCCAGGTATCTACTACCCTTTCTATATAACTGTTACCGCTTCCACTGGAAGGCTATTCCAGGTATCTACTACCCTTTCTATATCACTGTTACCGCTCCCGCTGGAAGGCTATTCCAGGTATCTACTACCCTCTCTATATCGCTGTTACCGCTCCCATTAGAAGGCTATTCCAAGTATCTACTACCTTTTCTATATCACTGTTACCGCTCCAACTGGAAGGCTATTCCAGGTATCTACTACCCTCTCTATATCGCTGTTACCGCTCCCATTTGAAAGCTATTCCAGGTATCTACTACCCTTTCTATATCGCTGTTACCGCTCCCACTGGAAGGCTATTCCATGTATCTACTACCCTTTTTATATCACTGTGACTGCTCCCACTGGAAGGCTATTCCAGGTATCTACTACCCTTTCTATATTGCTGTTACCGCTCCCAGTGGAAGGCCATTCCAGGTATCTACTACCCTTTCTATATCGCTGTTACCGCTCCCACTGGAAGGCTATTCCAGGTATCTACTACCTTTTCTATATCGCTGTTACCGCTCCCACTGGAAGGCTATTCCAGGTATCTACTACCCTTTCTATATCGCTGTTACCGCTCCCACTGGAAGGCTATTCCATGTATCTACTACCTTTTTTATATCACTGTGACTGCTCCCACTGGAAGGCTATTCCAGGTATCTACTACCCTTTCTATATCACTGTTATCGCCGCTCCCACTGGAAGGCTATTTCAGATATCTACTACCCTTTCCATATCACTGTTACAGCTCCCAGTGGAAGGCCATTCCAGGTATCTACTACCCTTTCTATATCACTGTTACTGCTTTCACTGGAAGGCTATTCCAGGTATCTACTACCCTTTCTATATCACTGTTACAGATCCCACTGGAAGGCTATTCCAGGTATCTACTACCCTTTCTATATCACTGTTACTGCTCCCACTGGAAGGCTATTCCAGGTATCTACTACCCTTTCTATATTGCTGTTACTGCTCCCACTGGAAGGCTATTCCAGGTATCTACTACCCTTTCTATATCACTGTTACCGCTCCCACTGGAAGGCTATTTCAGATATCTACTACCCTTTCTGTATCACTGTTACTGCTCCCACTGGAAGGCTATTCCAGGTATCTACTACCCTTTCTATATCACTGTTACTGCTCCCACTGGAAAGATATTCCAGGTGTCTACTACCCTTTCCAAATCACTGTTACTGCTCATACTGAAAGGCTATTCCATGTATCTACTACTCTTTCTATATCACTGTTACTGCTTCCACTGGAAGGCTATTCCAGGTATCTACTACCCTTTCTATATCACTGTTACTGCTTCCACTGGAAGGCTATTCCAGGTATCTACTACCCATTCTATATCACTGTTACTGCTTCCACTAGAAGGCTATTCCAGGTATCTACTACCCTTTCTATATCACTGTTACTGCTCCCACTGGAAGGCTATTCCAGGTATCTACTACCCTTTCTATATCACTGTTACTGATTCCACTGGAAGGCTATTCCAGGTATCTACTACCCTTTCTATATCACTTGTACTGCTCCCACTGGAAGGCTATTCCAGGTATCTACTACCCTTTCCAAATCACTGTTAGCTTTTACTGCTCCCACTGGAAGGCTATTCCGGGTATCTACTACCCTTTCTATATCACTGTTAGCTTTTACTGCTCCCACTGGAAGGCTATTCCAGGTATTTACTACCCTTTCTATATCACTGTTACCGCTCCCACTGGAAGGCTATTCCAGGTATCTACTACCCTTTCTATATCACTGTTAGCCTTTACTGCTCCCACTGGAAGGCTATTCCAGGTATCTACTACCATTTCTATATCACTGTTACTGCTCCCACTAGAAGGTTATTCCAGGTATCTACTACCCTTTCTATATCACTGTTACTGCTCCCACTGGAAGGCTATTCCAGGTATCTACTACCCTTTCTATATCACTGTTACCGCTCCCATTGGAAGGCTATTCCAGGTATCTACTACCCTTTCTATATCACTGTCACTGCTCCCACTGGAAGGCTATTCCAGGTGTCTACTACCCTTTCTATATCACTGTTACCGCTCCCACTGGAAGGCTATTCCAGGTATCTACTACCCTTTCTATATCACTGTTACTGCTCCTACTGGAAGGCTATTCCAGGTATCTACTACCCTTTCTATATCACTGTTACTGCTCCTACTGGAAGGCTATTCCAGGTATCTACTACCCTTTCTATATCACTGTTACCGCTCCCACTGGAAGGCTATTCCAGGTATCTACTACCCTTTCTATATCACTGTTACTGCTCCCACTGGAAGGCTATTCCAGGTATCTACTACCCTTTCTATATCACTGTTACTGCTCCCACTGGAAGGCTATTCCAGGTATCTACTACCCTTTCTATATCACTGTTACTGCTACCACTGGAAGGGTGTTCCAGGTATCTACTACCCTTTCTATATCACTGTTACTCCTCCCACTGGAAGGGTGTTCCAGGTATCTACTATCCTTTCTATATCACTGTTACTGCTCCCACTGGAAGGCTATTCCATGTATCTACTACCCTTTCTATATCACTGTTACCACTTCCACTGGAAGTCTATTCCAGGTATCTACTATCCTTTCTATATCACTGTTACTGCTTCCACTGGAAGTCTATTCCAGGTATCTACTACCCTTTCTATATCACTGTTACTCCTCCCACTTGAAGGCTATTCCAGGTATCTGCCACCCTTTCTATAATCACTGTTACTGCACCCACTGGAAGGCTATTCCAGGTATCTACTACCCTTTCCAAATCACCTTAGCTTTTACTGCTCCCACTGGAAGGCTATTCCAGGTATCTACTACCTTTTTTATATCGCTGTTACCGCTCCCATTGGAAGGCTATTCCAGGTATCTACTACCCTCTCTATATCGCTGTTACCGCTCCCATTTGAAAGCTATTCCAGGTATCTACTACCCTTTCTATATCGCTGTTACCGCTCCCACTGGAAGGCTATTCCATGTATCTACTACCCTTTTTATATCACTGTGACTGCTCCCACTGGAAGGCTATTCCAGGTATCTACTACCCTTTCTATATTGCTGTTACCGCTCCCAGTGGAAGGCCATTCCAGGTATCTACTACCCTTTCTATATCTCTGTTACCTGGAATAGCCTTCCAGTGGGAAGCGACGCTGTGACTAAAAGGTAATAGTGGAATAACCTTCAGGAGGCGTGCTAACGATACTCAAAACCTGGAATGGAAGCGATATCTATATGCGCTGTTACGCTCCCACTGGGCTATTCCAGGCATTTACTACCCTCTCTATATGCTGTTACGCTCATTGAGAGGCTATTCCAGGTATCTACTACCTTTTCTATATCACTGTTACCGCTCCAACTGGAAGGCTATTCCAGGTATCTACTACCCTCTCTATATCGCTGTTACCGCTCCCATTTGAAAGCTATTCCAGGTATGTACTACCCTTTCTATATCGCTGTTACCGCTCCCACTGGAAGGCTATTCCATGTATCTACTACCCTTTTTATATCACTGTTACTGCTCCCACTGGAAGGCTATTCCAGGTATCTACTACCCTTTCTATATCACTGTTACCGCCGCTCCCACTGGAAGGCTATTTCAGATATCTACTACCCTTTCCATATCACTGTTACAGCTCCCAGTGAAAGGCCATTCCAGGTATCTACTACCCTTTCTATATCACTGTTACAGATCCCACTGGAAGGCTATTCCAGGTATCTACTACCCTTTCTATATTGCTGTTACCGCTCCCACTGGAAGGCCATTCCAGGTATCTACTAACCTTTCTATATCGCTGTTACCGCTCCCACTGGAAGGCTATTCCAGGTATCTACTACCTTTTCTATATCGCTGTTACCGCTCCCATTGGAAGGCTATTCCAAGTATCTACTACCTTTTCTTATATCACTGTTGCAGCTCCCACTGGAGGCTATTATTCCAGGTATCTATAACCTCTCTACTTATGGCTGTTACTTGCTCCCATTTTGAGAAGCTATTCAGGTATCTACTACCCTTTCTATATTTAACATTTACATCCCACTGGAGAGGCCATTCCAGGTATCTACTAACCTTTTCTATATAAGCTGTTACGCTCCCACTGGAGAGGAGGCTATTCAGGTATCTACTACTACCTTTTCTATATAAACAATTTACCGCTCCCATTGGAGCCTATTCCAAGTATCTACTACCTTTTCTATATCACTGTTACCGCTCCCACTGGAAGGCTATTCCAGGTATCTACTAACCTCTCTATATCGCTGTTACCGCTCCCATTTGAAAGCTATTCCAGGTATCTACTACCCTTTCTATATCACTGTTACTGCTACCACTGGAAGGCCATTCCAGGTATCTACTACCCTTTCTATATCACTGTTACTGCTCCCACTGGAAGGCCATTCCAGGTATCTACTGCCCTCTTGGTAAGGTACCGCCCCTCTATTCTGCTCTGGTTTCTGTTTTCGTATAATTCTGCCCTTTTCCATTTAATATATTTACATTTCTCTCTCTGCAGGAGTCTGGCTGGTGCTGTTAGTAAAGTTGTGAATTGTGAAATTATCATTAAAAATAAAAAGTGATTTTAGATAAAAATAAAAATATTTAGTTTATTATTGTGGCTTTACATTTGGGTTATAAATCCCACTTTTACCTAATAAAGTGCTAAATGATGGCAGCTCTCTGTACATTTAATGTAACTATCTTTATTTCTCTGTTATTTATATTATTATTTATATTATATTATTATCTTCTGGTCTGTAAACAATAACCAAAGGTTTGATACAAAGAGGGGATATGTAATAATATAAATATTGACTTGGTTCCTTTCCTGTCCTTTGGTGGGATCTGCTAAATTTATGGAAAGAATGTCTTCCAGATACTTTGTAACAGAAGGGAAGAATTTGGGAATATTAGGGGTAGTGGGCGGGGCTAAATTCAGCTAATTTGCATGTTATATCCGCCTTGGCCAATGACAGGAGAGGAGGGAGTGGTTATGGTGATTGTACCATTGTTAGGGAGCATGCGTGGATTAGAGGCTAACAAAGCAGCAGCACAGTCTCTTCTATCACCCTGGATAATCTGCTGGCAGTCATTGACCTGGGATTGTACAGTTTGCAGGATCCTGTCTTGCTGTGCTGGGAGTGGGAGCTGTGTGTGTGTGAGGACACCATCCTGGTATGTAGCTTGTTACTGTGTATCCCTGTGTGTATACTGTGTATCCCTGTGCCAGCTCTGTGCCAGCCAGCCTGCCTGCCTGCTGGATGCTATGAGTCAGGGTGGCATTTAATGAGGATTTACAGGCAGGGAGAGTGGGTGGCTGGCTAAACCTGCCCATTGCTCAGTCAGCAGGAATCCATGGACTGGGTCCCCAGGGTGCTGGGAGGGGGATGTGTTTATTAGAGCCACAGGGGCCACACCAGCTGATTTAGCAAATCTGAAATACAGGTCAGGATCTGAAAGGGTTAAAAGTCCCAGCCATGTGTTATATGTCCCTGTGTTACTGAGATGGTGTGATATAGATGTATGATCTCTCTGTGGGCATAAACTGTCTGTGTGTTTAGCACATAGAGTGTGTGTGTGTGTGTGTTTTTTTTTTATTTAGTAGGTAGTATCTGTCTGTCTGTGTGTGTGTTTTGTGTGTAGTATCTGTGTGTATGTGTGTGTTTTGTGTTTAGTAGGTAGTATCTGTGTGTGTGTGTGTGTGTGTGTGTGTGTGTGTGTTTTTGTAGGTAGTATCTGTGTGTGTGTGTGTTTTGTAGGTAGTGTCTGGGTTTGTCTTTTAGTCGATAGTATCTGTGTGTGTTTTGTGTTTAGTAGGGTGTGTGTGTATGGCAATGTACAGTGTGTGTCTGATATTAGATATATGGGTAGATTTTTTGTTACAATGTATCTGTAATACTGTATTGTCTGTACAGTATGTGTGTGGCCATTAACCCTGTGTGTGCTGGACTGCACCACATCCTGTCTCCTCCTGGCTCCCAGAGAATTCACTGCAGCCAACAAAGTGTCCGGATCTGGGATTTACTGGCATTGGATTCAGTCATAGAAATTACACTGCTCTCTGTCTTGGCACAGCATGGGCACAGCAACGGGTACACTGCTGGTACTGCGCACTGACAGACAGTGTGTGTGCATGTTAGCTACAGCCCTCACTCACACGTACATCCCACAGTGTACTCACACACAGCGCTCACAAACAGTGTACTCACACACAGCACTCTGTCACAGTGTACACGCATCCCATAGTATACTCACACACTCACACCATTCTACGCATCCCATAGTATACTCACACCATTATACGTAGTGTACTCACACTCGCACCATTATACACATCCCATAGTATATTCACACCATTAGACACATCCTATAGTATACTCACACACAGTGCTCACTCACACATCCCATAATATACTCACACCATTATACGCATCCCATAGTATACTCACACTCACACCATTATACACAGCCCATAGTGTACTCACACCATTATACACAGCCCATAGTGTACTCACACTCACCCCATTATACACATCCCATAGTGTACTCACACCATTATACACATCCCATAGTGTACTCACACTCACCCCATTATACACATCCCATAGTGTACTCACACCATTATACACAGCCCATAGTGTACTCACACTCACCCCATTATACAGAGCCCATAGTGTACTCACACTCACCCCATTATACACATCCCATAGTGTACTCACACTCACCCCATTATACACATCCCATGTACTGAGCTGCCTCCATCCATCCCTGACCATTACACACTTTCCCCATATGCAGTTCTATCTCTCGGGGTACATTACACACCTCTCTCTCTCCCTGCACACACCCATTGCTCGCAGTATACACAGCTTTCAGTGTGTACATCCGCCCCTTAGAATAATAAACGTGTTTTAATGTACTGTACCATGTTTCGGGTGTCAACTAATTGGTTGATTATTCAGGGAGCTGCGCAGTCACCGCCTGTGTCATTTACAGGACATGGCTGGACAGCAGCCAGGCCAGGGGAACACATGTGTTTCATTTCATACATCAGCGTCTGGAGCGATAGGGCTGCGATAATCTGCAGGAATGGAAGGAAGATGAGATAATCTGTGTGAATAGGTGTCTGCCATAATCTGCCTGTTTCTATCCAGAACAGGGGTCGCGTGATAATCTGAATTCTTAGGAATTAGGGGGTGCAATAATCTGCAGGCACCTTGGGAATGGAGGCAGCGATTACCTAGAGGTTTCTATCAGAAATGGAATGGACGAGATAATCTGCAGCTATCTGACAGAAACTGGGCTGTGAGAGGAAACATGTATGAATGAATGTAAGTAGTGAGAGTAACTGTCCCAACCTTGAAATCTCACCTTTCAGCAAATCTCATGTTAAACCAGACGCCATGAATGCAATGCTGCCAACTAATGTTCCCATGATCCTCTGCAATGCATCCAGGTGGATTTAGCCATCTGCCCGATGGGACAGTGTCTGCAGCGTCCGATTGGTTTCAGCTC